TTTCTCCGTGCCCTGTTTGAAGGACTCTCGCTGTTACCACTTGCTTTTGTTCGGCTATCAGCACTGATAAAGGATCCTGCAAAAACGGGGTTCTAATCGGCCCAGTTATCGGCAATGTGACATGATATCACACAGTTGCTCTTTATGGCTCAGGCTATCCCCGCGTAGCCACTTTGGCAGATTCGCCTGCATACGCGGGATGTCGCAAAGGTGGCGAGCTGCTGCTGCCTGCCCGGTTTGTCGGGCTGGCGCTGGAGTTTTTTTCCTTGTCGAGAGTCCGTTCGACTTGAGCGTTGTTTGCGCGGGTCATTGTGCGGTGGCTCATTTTTGAGAGACGCAGCGCCAGCGGGCCGACGGTGAGTGGGGGGCCACGCAGACTTGCGCAGTGGCCCTGCTAGGCGCGCGTGCGCAGCTGACGTTGTACCTAATGCGTCGATTCTGCACGTGGATCTCAGGGCTTGGTCTCACTGTAAGGGATGCCGTTTTCAACAAGCTACGCTCTGAAGGTAAGGGCCACCGTGATCTGGTGTTGAAGCATGCAATGGTGCTGGCAAGCGGCCTTCTTTACTGCGGCCGCTCCATATCACTGGAGGTGAAGGTTGCTTGCACAGGCCTGGCAGGGCGTCGCTTCAAGGCAGCACGGGACAACTAGAAAGGACGCTGCGTGCGGAGTGGCCCCGGTGCTTCGCGTGCGCGATGCGCCTTTCGGAACCGCCGCCTTAGTCATGATCGGTGTTTGTGATGACGATCGCCTCTTCGCAGCAGGCCTCCCTCTCGTTGTGAAGCTGCAGTTGCTCGCGCCGAACGAGTCCAATCGGCCGAAATGGGCCTCGATCTTGCTCGACCGCGGGGCAGTGCCCGTCGAGCCTGCGCCTCCCCCAGTGCGGCAACAGCGACTTGGTGCGCGAACTTTGAGCGGCGCTGTCGGCAACAGAGCAAGACCTCGACGAAAACGGCGCCCTGCGGGTGAGATTGTTGGATCAGTTCAAGGCCATCTCTTCTACCAAGGAGCGCAGCACTCCTGGCCCGAAACTTCAAAATTAAGGGTCGCACCTTGGCTTGCCAACCCCTGATGATTGCATGCGGGGGCGGTTCCCTGATTCGCGCAGAAGGGGTCCGCCAGTTTGGCTCGCGCGGGCGGCCGCGCGTAGGGTGTGTCACGATGAGGTCAGGGGGCAGTGGCATCTTCTAGTTGCGTTGTGTTATTCCGTGCAATCAGGAATTCGCAAGCCCAGAAAAATTCACCGTGGCTGCGCTGGGGGCCCCGTGGCAACCCAAGGGGCCGGATTGCATTGATTATTGTGGTGACCGCGGCAATCTTTGCCTCGCGATGCGATCGTTGCGATCTGTCTGGCGCGAGCGCGCAGCGCATCTACCCAGGCCAGTGCACAGAACGTGGGGCATGGAACTTGCTATTCGGATGCCGTCGGCGCGCCTGCCCGCGGTGAAAGCGCGCGCGCGTGGCGTAACGCGCTTTGTCGTTTTCGCTGTTTTTTTGTGTTGTCGTGATCTCCTACCCCTGGTGCCGCCGAAGGCGCGTCGAGACCCTTCGCAGGGCCGCCCGCAACTCGGGATCGCCTGCGCCGCGGCCGTGGCGGCGAGGACAGGCGGCGGGGTCCCCGGTGGTTGGAGGTCCCGGTGGGGGGTCCGCGCGCGCCCCCCGCGGCTCCCCCCACCCTAAACCGAGTCTGAGTGGCTTTCGACTGGGTCCAGCTCCTCCCGTCGCGCGCGTGCGCGCGCGCCTGCGCGCTCGCGTGCGCGTGCCCGTTGCGTGAGAGAGAAAGAGAGAGAGAGAGAGAGAGACAGAGAAAGAGAGAGAGAGAGAGAGAAAGAGAGAGAGAGAGAGAGAGAGAAGGAGAGAGAGAGAGAGAACAAAAAAGAAAGAGAGAAAGAGAGGGAGGGAGTGTGTGTGTGTGTGTGTGTGTGTGTGCGTGCGTGCGTGCGTGCGTGCGTGTGTGTGTGCGCGCGCGCGAGCTCCGCTTCGTTGTTGCGCGCGGGGCCGCGACCGCCAGAAAGTGTGTGCGTGTATGTGTGTGTGTGCGCGTGTGCGTGTGTGTGTGTGTGTGTGTGTGTGTGTGTGTGTGTGTGTGTGTGTATGTGTGTGTATGTGTGTGTGTGTGTGATTCGTGGTGTTCTGACAGATCTCAGCCTAAGATACTTGCGCTTATTCCAGCTTTCGAGTTGCTTTTACAAGCTACGAGTGTCCGAGCGGGATGGCGGAGTGAGTCAGGATGGTGCCAGCTCGCTAGTTTCCATCGTCGTTTCTTGCTCTAGCCTTGGCCGAGCTTGTGGGCTTGGGTCGACGCTCAAACCTGGATCAGGATTTCGGTGAGCGCGCTGTGGGAGTATATTCTCGGTCATGGCGTTGCGTGATTGCTGGTGGGATCTCTAGTGCCTTGGCGGGTGGGAGACGGGGCCCGCGGTGGAGGTGGTCGTCTGCTCACGTTGCCCCGTGCTCTCTCACGTCTACCTGGTGTTTGCCGTTGTGTGTTTGAGTCTGACTGGGGCTGGCCTGTTCGATTCGCGCATCGCCGACTCCTTCGCGCCCCCGTCCTCTCCATCCTTCGTGTCCTGCATCCACGGCTCGACCTCAGTCGCGGCAGAGGGGCCTCGGGCCCTCGAGTGCGACCGAGGCGGCAGTGGGCGCCTTTCCTCGTCGCCCGAGGCTACGCCCCCCCCTGCAGGTTTGCCGCGGTGCTGAACTCCAAGAGTGGCTCCGACGACGAAGGCATGTTCGGCCACCTGCTAACGGTCGCGTGGCCGGTGGCGTGCTTCGCCAGTAGTTTGGCCGAATCGGAGGCCTCGGAAACGTTCTCAGCTTCCCGACGCGATTATATATCAGGCATGCGCCCAGGCAGTTCGGCAAGTTGTTTTCAGATTTCTGGTCTGGAATTCTTTGGCAGCTCGGCCTCCTACATCGTGACCCCCTACTGCGTCTCCGTCAACCCTTCCCTCGCCTTGCGCAGTTCGGGTGGGGTGTCGTGGCGGCTCTCGCTAATGGTAATTTGCCGTGCAGGTTGTGCGTAGGCCTCTTGGGAAGTAGTCGGCAGTCTTGGTGGTGTCCCAGGGCCATGCGGGCGCTCGCCATAGGCTTCCAGAAGGTTTTTAATTCGCGAGGGTCCCGCCAGCTTGATCCACGCAGTGGATTTAGTTGAGCTCGCCACGGTGCGGACTTCTAGAGCTTGCGGCGACTCTCGACGTTCGGGCGAGCGCCGTGCGCCCGTATGCCAGCTTGGCGTTCGCAGTAGATATTGGGCAGGCCTCGCAAACTAAGGCGCGCGGCGAGATGCGCGGCTTCCCCGCGAATTCTGCTGGCGCCTTCGAGCGTGGACAGTGGCTGCTTTAGATGGGGCCAACTTATACAGCCAGCAATCCAGAGGGCATCGCGCGCTCTTGCAAGGTGATGGTTGCGTGTCTTTTTCGGTTCTAATCTTGGGCATTGCAGTTTCTAGCAGAACGCATTCATCTGCATGCATACATATTAACAGAGTCAGCCTACATACATGTACGTCGCCCAGAAGCCGTTGACACACCTATCCCGCTACTCCAGGGACCTCATAGAGCCCGAAAGCGCCCCAGGCGCAGACAGAGCAGTAGATGCGCGGGCTCGTCTAGCCCATCGGGTTTTCGGAGATCAGGGTGGCGAGCGGCACTCTCGATGCCTTACACGATATGGTCAGCGACATATGTCTCGGCGGGCATTTCTTCGGAGCCGTGGCGACATTCAGACTTTTCTCAGGCGCCTGTTCAAGCGTGTGCATAGGGTGTTTCGGCGCCGAGAATTCCGCGCCCATGGGGCGCTCAGACCGATTGACGTGCATGCGCAGGGTTTCCCACCACTTCTCCGTAAACTTGTTGTCATCGGGCCGCGGGGGATTGAATGGGGCCGGGCTGCCCGCCGTCGTTTTCACCTTGCAGATTTGTGTGTTCATTGTTTGGTCGGCTTGCAGTCTCCTGCCTCGCCGCCGTGATCGCTTGCGCGCTCGAGCGTGCGTGGGGCAATCGGCTGGGTGTCATGGGCGCCTCTTACCGCAATCTTGTTTGCTCTTGATTCCGTCGGCAGCTTGGAGGGCCCGGGTGCGCTGGTGGCCCCGGCGCGACAATCGCCAAGAAGTGGCCGAGTTGCCCCGCGGTGCTTCCCCGGTCCGAAGCCATGCCAAGACTGGCCAAAGCGCAGGGCCCGACGAGGAATGACATTTTGAACATTATTTAATCGCTTCGTTCATTCCGCCAGCCCATAGCGCCTCGCCGCTTGGGGGCCGTGATGGGGCCTCTTGGGGGCATCTGAGGCCTCTAGGGAACCGTGCTGGGGCCTCTTGGGGCTTCTTGTGGGTCTCTTGGGGCTTTTTGGGGTGCCTCTCGGGGCCTTTTGGCAGGTCTGTTGGAGCCTCCTGGGGACCTCCTGGGGCTGGAGGCTGGACTTCCCGGTTCCTGGTCCCCGTCTTGGGCCTCTCTTGGAGCCGTTCTGGGGCCATCTTGGGCCATCTTGGGTGTTTCTGGGACTGTCTGGGGGCCATCTGGGGCCGTCTTGGGGCCCTCTTGGAGGCTTCTTGGGCCGTCTCCACGTGCGCGCGAATTAGACAGATTGTTGACCTGTTACCAGAGATTCTAGCACGCCTCTGGCCCGATGGGCCAGCGAAAAAAGTGCGCGTGATAATTTATCGGTTTGAGGGTTCTGCGAACTTGGGCCCCGAGCTCCTGAACATAATCATTGAAGGACACCATGTAGCTGGGCTTCCGCTCGACGGCCTTCCCCCCACGAGCTCGCGCCGCCAGTGGCTCGCGAGGCCGCCGTGTAGTCGCGCGGTCCCTGGCTCCAACAGCGCGGGCTACCCTGGGAAAGACCTGGACAGCCCCAGCGTTCGGGGCCCGTTGTTCATGATGCTCCATCCTCGGTTGTCAGTTGCCCGCGTCGCACCGCGAGCGCGTAGCGAGCGTTCACAGATGCGGTCCAGATAACTTGTGTCGTTTTCGAGGACAACGTCAAACGCGTGTGGGTCATGACTAGCCTCTACATGTTGAGTCAGTTGCTGTATGTATTTTTCATCAGTGTATATGTATACATATATATGTTTATGTAGATGTATTTGTATGTTACGTATATAGATATATAATGAATTTCTATGAACATAAATATGATGAGCCACCTCTCCCACCGCTGGAATCTAATCGCGATCCACGTTCTGATATTGTGGTCTGGTATCGGGCTCTCCTGGATTGGACTGTGCCTCGAAAGTTGTTCAGAGGGAAGTCTGCCTTTAGTGTCAGGAGCCTGCGCTACTGTTGCCCCTGGATGAAAATAAAGTGTTGCGCCCCCCAGGGCATGCGCGGGCGCGCTGACGAGACGCACTCGTGCTTCCGTAGCATGTGCTCGTTCATCCGTTTGCAGGGTCAACGTTTTGTTCCACGGGTCGGCCGAGACGCCCACTGCAACGCGAGGTGCGTCGCGCCAGGGTGGGGCATGCGGACGTGAGCCAGGCTTTCGGCATCCTGCGCCAGCGGATCCAGGCATTAGGCCCTTCTGTGCGTGACCCTCAAACTGGTGGTTTCTGTTCTTTCTCACGTGGTACTGCTATGCTCTACCCTGCCATCGTCGTGGCTGATGCAGGCCAGGCATAGGAGGACCTCGACTCGACCAAAAGCGAAACAGCCATAGCCCAGCTCTTTGACGAGATGCCTTGGCACGCGCGCTCGCATGCGATCGCGATCACTGCTAAGAGTTGTGGCTCCGGGATTCGTTGGGGGTAGGAAGTAGGCGGTGCCGACAGGTGTGTCTTCAGCATCTAGTCTGCGCGCCGATGTTTGATCGGCTTTCTTGGAATGCGGCTATGCCGCATCGGCGATTTTTTGCTTGTCAGATCAAAGGCGTCCGCATTGGGGGCTCTCTGTCAGGGTGCATTCTCGAGCATGTCCTGAGCCGCGCAGAGACTGCTCATGTGTCGGGTCACCCAAAGAGGCGAACGCATAGTGCTGCTGGCCGCTATGTGGATGAATTGGGGCTGTTCTTTCGCGCCCTCTGCCGTTCGTGTGTTTCCCAGGTGGCATGGCATGTGTGCGAGAACATTGTCAAATTCGAGGTGGGCGACTCGTTCGAGATTGTCAATGATACGACCAAGAACATTGTCAATTTTAAGGTGGGCGACTCGTTCGAGATTGTCAATGACAAGACCAACGTCAGAAGTCCCCAGATCCTGGGGTCCACATGGGCTTCGCAGACTGTACCTCGTTTCCATGGACTGGGTCCCCCGTCGGACCTCGCACAGCAGTCCATTCCCTCCAGCGCCTTCCAGACAGATAGAGCACTCTTCAAAATTCACCGAGCCGAACTTAAACGCGTGTTTATTCCGCTGGAGACACTTCGCAAACACCATGCACAGCATAACCTACTTCGTCATAGTCGACATCATGGCTTATCTTCGATTGGGCTACCCCTGCACGTTCGTTTCCAAGCGTGGGGCTCAAGTCCAGCCCCCGAGCGAGTTCCAAGGCGTTGTTCGGGTTATCCTTCAGTTGATCCGCGAATCCTGCCCTGGCCTCGTCAGCCGCAGAGGCAGGGACAGACTTCGCAGGCTGCGTCGTCCGTTTGCCGTTGCGTGCGTTTGCCGTTGCGTATCGTCTGCAGCGCGCGTTCGGCTTCGACCTTTCCTCCACCCTGCGCCTTTCCCGCCTCGTCACCCTCTTCGCCCGCGGAGGCCATGGGCGGCCGGCCGTGGGGCAGCAGCGGCTCTTGGAGCGGCAAGGGCCGCGGCGGTGCACGAGGCCCGTGGCAGCCGCGACGCGGGGGGGGGGGCGGCGGCGACTGCCTCGTGGGTGTCGCCGATCCGTTCCACAAGGTGATGGGAAGCGCCTCGGCGTCCGCCCAGGCCAAGCAGGTCTCCTCGGGTGCAGGCGGGGGCCCGACGTCACCCAGCCAGGCACACAGACTCAGGAGTTGGCTTCGGCGCTGACGATGATGCTCCGGGTCTCTCGGGGCGGTCCCACCTCGCCCCGGCGGCCCCCGCTGGGCGGCGGCGCGACAGGCGACTCGCGGCTCCGGCGCACCGGCCGGCGCATGTCCGAGTTCGTGAACGATGGTGGGCCGCGCAGTGCTACTGGCGCTCTCGAGGGCCAGCCTGCCTTCAATCGCTTGAGGGCCGAGATAGAGGCACTCGCGAAGGAAGCCAACGCCCTGGTGGAGACAGCGAAGCCCGTGCAGGACACGACTGGCGAGACGAGCAAGGATATCAAGTCGCTCATGGCCCTGTTCCAGCAGAGCGACCCGTGGTCGCCTCAGCCTGGAGGGGTCGGGGAAGTCCGCGAGCAGGCACCGCCAGCTGCCCGCGTCGGGGGGCGTGCGTTTCAGCGCACCATGGCGAGGGATCTCCACGCCGAGACCCTAGGCCACGTCGGCATCAGTGCCATTGGGCGCGAGGTTAAGGACCTCGAGGAGGCCTTTTCGACAGGCATCAGACGTGAGGGCAGGTTGTCGGCACCTTGCAGGGCACCGCCGAGAGACGCAATGATCTCGCCGCCTCGGTTGCCGCCGAGAGCCAGTGGAGACGAGCGCCAGGGCGATGGGCGACTGGCTTTTCCGCTTCTTGCAGGATGACGGCTCGTGTTCCGACGAGCCCTTGCAGGGTGGTCCGCCCTGGTCGCCGTCTGCAGCTGCAACTGCAGCAGCAGTGAGAGCGGAGCCAGTGCCCGTGCCTTTGCTGCCGCGGCTTTCTCCTTTCAGTTGCCGTTATCAGGTGTTTTTCAGTAATCAGTGTTTATGTCTGTTTTGTCCGTCAGACCTGTCTTTGGGTCCAGGATGCGCGTCGCGGCGTTTCAGAGATCAGAGGTGCCGCTGTTTTGTCTTCTATCGTATTGCCCCGTTTTGCGACAGGCATCGGCATGGCACGGCGTCTCACGGGTTGGCTTCCCCTGGATTTTAACGGTCAGAGTGCGCGGCATTCCCTGTCTCGGAGGGCACCAACTATACACCAACACCGATCCTGGCCCAGGGTGATCCTGGCCAGGATCGGTGTTGGTGTATAGTTGGTGCCTTCCTACTGTCCTTTTTGCCCAGGCCTGCGACGAGCCAGGATGAGTCGCCCGACATAGACTGGGCTCTGGTCTCGCCCGGCCCTGGGCCCTGCCCCCCCTCCCCTCTCTTCGCCCCCCCCCCCCCCCCTGCCTTCCTCCCTTCTCCTCTTCCGCGCCTTCCCGCGGGGGCCGCCCTTTCGGTCGCCGACCCCCGTGTAAGCGCGCGCGGTCACTCATGGCGACAGTGTTGGTTGCACCCGACGCGCGCCTCGCGCTGCCGCGCCCGAGGGGGGGGGGGCGCGACGATCATCGGGGGCTGCGCGCTCCATTTCATGCTTTGAATCCGTCGCTTCAGTGGCGACTTGCGCGTGTGTGTGTGTGTGTGTGTGTGTGTGTGTGTGTGTGTGTGTGTGTGTGTGTGTGTGTGTATGTCTGCGTGTGCGTGCGTGCGTGCGTGCGTGCGTTTATGTGCGTGTGTATGTGTGCGCGTGTGTCTTCCGATTTAGTTCCGTGGCATTCTGGCGAAACGCAGCTAGAGATCCAAGCGTTTGTCCCAGATTTCGAATTGTTTTATCAAACTAGGAGTACCCGAGCGAGGCGGCGGATTAATCAGGAGGGGGCCAGCTTGCTCGTTTTCATCGCTATTTCTTTGCTCTTGCCGTGGCCGAACTTGTTGACTCTATTGGTCGACGCTCAAACCGATATGAAGGTATCGGTGCGCGCGTTGTGGAAACGGAACCCGAGGTGGAGGTGGTCGTCTGTTGCCGCTGTTTGGGATTCTCTTACGTCTATCTGCTCTTCGTTATCGTGTGAGTGTGTGCGTGTGTGTTGCTGGTGTGTTCCTTGGCCCTTCGGCATTGTGTGGCTCCGCCGCCTGCAGCTCGCTCTCCGCCGCCTTTCCGTGGCGCTCTCCACTGTCGGTTCACTCTCGGTTGCTCGCTCCCTCTGCCTTCCAGTCCCGGTTTTCTTATGTCACCTTCCACCCGCGCCGTAGTTTCGTCCGTTCATTGCCCTTCCCCGCCGCCCTTGCCCGGATGGTTTTGGCTGCTGCCGTCTGCGAGACCCCACGAGGCTCCCGAAAGCTCGGCAGGGCGTAGACGCGCGCGTTCCGCTGCTTGCGCTCGACTGTCCACGCCTCGTCGCCTGCGCGGGGTCGCGACGCCAAACGAAGTGTGTGTGTGTGTGTGTGTGTGTGCGTGCGTGCGTGTGTGTGTGTATGTGTGTGTGTGTGTGTGTGTGTGTGTGTGTATGTGTGTTAGTGTGTTCGTGTGTTAGTGTGTTAGTGTGGACGTGTGTTAGTGCGTTAGAGTGTTAGTGTGTTGATGTGCGTGCTGCTTGCTTGCTTGTTTGCTAGCTTGCGTGTGTGTATGTGTGTGTATGCTTGTGTGCGTTTGTGTGTTTGTGTTTACGTTTTTGTAGTGTTGTGTTGTGTTCTGTTGTATGTTAGCGTGTTCTGTTGTGTAATGTTGTGTTGTGTTGTGTTCTATGTTGTGTGTTGTGTTGTGTGTGTGTGTTGTGTTGTTGTGTTGTATGTTGTCTTCTGTGTGCATGCGCGCGCGTTGCGTGCCCGCGCGCGCGCGCCGCGCGCGTGCGACCGACCGACTGATCGACCGACCGACCGGCGGAACGACTGGCCGACAGACCAGCGCGCTTCCATGCAGTCTGATAGGCAGGCAGTTAGGCAGACCAAGCGACACACCGACACACCATCCGACCGACAGACCGACCGACCGACAGACGGAGGCATGCCCGCAACGCGACAAGCTGACGGCCTGACACACTGCTTGGCTCACAGGCATACCGACAGAGATAGATTGACAAAACGATGTGCGGGAAAACAAAAACCCAGACGGACATGCCGACATACGTGCAGAGATGCAGACAAAAAGACGACACCTACGGCCATTTCGGTTCAATCAGATTTCAAACTTGCCTTAGCAATTTGCCGCCGCGGCGCCAGCTGCAGCTCCGCGTCGGCCCAACATGCTCACGTTTTTCGACGGCGAGCAGCGCGAGTTGTCCCAGTCATAGAAAAAAGGCCCGCAAAGATAACTGCGTGTCCCCGTGGCAGCAGGCCGCAGCTTATGGGCTGAAGGAGGCGTGGGAAGAGTTGCGCGGGGGCCAGTTTCGTCGGAAACTCTTGCGCGTCGCAGACTTTATCTTCATTCAGGGCCCTGGGCGCCACCATTCACGTGTATGTTCAATCAGCAGGCTGGCCAATAAGATGAACGAGGGCGAAGATTGGTTTCCAGGCAAAGTGCGTGGGGGCCTGGGCTGTCGTTCGTCAGTTCTGAACGAGACTCACGAACAGTCGTCGCGGCCAGTGCGGTGGCTATGAGAGGGCGCGGGGTTGGGCCTGCGCGCGGCCGCGCCATCGCTCCGTGCCCGGATGCCCCTAGCAATCTTGCCGCGGAGTGCGAAATCTGGAAGCAAGTCGCGTGCGATAACGTGGAGAGTTGTTGCTGCGACCTCGATCCCGTCGCGCCGTGGTCTTGCCAGATGCGCCCGGCAAAGGTGGCCGCGCTGCCGCAGAAAGTCCCGAAGCGCGTGGCCTTTGGCAATAACGTGTTGTCACTGAAGCACGCGCCCAGGTGGCATCGGTTGTGCAGTGTCTGGACGGACATCTGCAGCGACGTTTTGCCTGCCACCGTTCGCGGGGCCAGCGCGCGAACCCTCGCGCGGATGAGTGCGGGGCGCGAGCTCGCGATCACGTGCGGCAGCAAGAAGGACTTTGTGCTCGCGGGGGAGGAACGCACGTGGATCCATGGTGTGCCTGTCCTCGCGCGGGCCAAGTTTCGCCTCGCGTTGTTGTCGCCTGGCGCTGCCGGCGACCATGGCAGTGGCATGCCCGACATCAGTCGCAAGCTCAGGTCGTCCATTCGCGCGCGGATCCGCGCCGACCAGCCGCGCGTCGCGTTCGTTGGCCTTGGCGGTGGCTTGTGCTCGGGCGGGGGCATCGCGCGTGAATTCACGCAGGCTTTGCGTGGGCATGCGGTCAAGGCTTCGCATGGTGGCGACGCCAGTGTCCAGTTGGGGCGCGCTGGGGACCTATGGCCACGCGAGACTGCTGCGTCGTGGGCGAGGGAGAGTTTGCGGTTTGCCTTGCGGACAGAGCCGTGGATTGAAGCCGAAGAGGAGTTCGAAGGGTGATTCGAGGCGGCGGCCGCGTGGGTCAACGCTCAGCATGACGTCGGCGGTCTACGCAGGCAGATGCCGCAGCGCATGCGTGACCGCGTGTGCGTGGTCAAAGGTGGCAGGCAGGACAAATGAAGGGACTGCTTCAGGACCCCACCGCTTGCTTGACATGTTGAGTTTTCCCTTGGCATGTATTGCATTGCGTGTCATGTGGTCGTGGCATCTACCGCTTGCGCTCCACTAGTAAAATACGGGCCTGAGCTGAGCTGGAGTGCGCCGGAATGGCGCAGCCTTGCTCTGTGATCCGCCTGCGTTCTGTACAAAGGTTTCGGAGAAACAGAGGCATGAGCGTCCGAGTTTACTTAGGCTTTGTGGCTGCTTGACCCGCCGACGCCCAGTCTTGAGATTCACCATCATGGCTTTGCAAGGGGGGCGAACAATCGGCGGCCGCAGATGACCACGCGCTTCCTTGGTCATCGCAAGTCGTCCTTATGAGCAGGCGCAAGTCGAGCGGGAGTCTCCAATCAAGTCACTTACACATTCCTCGCGACTTTGCGCACTTTTTCAGTGCATCCCTCGGGGGGTGGCGCTGATTAAGTACGGTGAGAAAAAGGCACGCTGGTGGCAACAATAGTTCATGCTCTTCTCGAATCGATCAAATCACGAATGCCGAGATTTGTGTTCGTTTCCATCCTCCCTGCTGGGGGCCCATATGCAGGGCCCTGGGGCCGCCAGAAGAGGGCTGGGGATGAAACGCTGGTCCCAGAGAAAAGGTCAAAATTTCAGGGGGCCCACGTCACGAAAAAAAACACGCCGTCGCAGGTCTGGGCAGGGCGCTCCAGATAGGGCTTCGGTTTCGAGGGGCCACAGAGAGTTGGCGTGTGTTCTCCGGCGGAACTCTGGCGGGAGTGGCCAGCGGAAATCATTTATGATATTGCTACGCTACGCGTTCCGAGGCTCTAAGGCGTTGAGGGTTTCCAGAAACGAAGGCCGTTGGACATGTCGGAATTCTTGGAGCGAGTCCTGAGCCAATTGAATCTTGGCATCCCGTCCCACTGGAGCGGGGGCAGCTCCGCCAGCGGAAAGCCGGCAAAAACGGGCGGACGCAACAAATGTTCGTCCAATGTGTTCCTGCAGGGGAGCACTGAGGTTTTCCGAGAGGCGCGGACCACAATTTGCGCGCCGATGGCGACCGCGTGTTCTTGAATGGCCACCTGCCAGGAACACTCTCCAGGGTGATCGCCAACAGCAAGATCCAATGTTGCATTTTTGTGGAGTAAAGTTGCGGTCGGTGGGTGGGGAGCCAGCAGCCAAAGACACGCTTTCTCAATAATGTGACGGGGGGATTGATTCAGAATATTTGCGTGCTTCATCATTTTCCCCCCCTTCCCTTCGCGGGCGCATAGGGTTGAACTGGCCGGACCTGGCCTGACCTGTTGCCAAAGGGCGTTCGTTTTCCCTCTGATCCGGGCGTCGTGAAACACTTGCACGACGCGCGTATTCGCCGTGTTGCGGGCATCAGGGGCCAGGGCCCTCACGATCTGAACTTGCTTGATCGAGGGATCCGGCCGTTTTTGTGGTTGTTGTTTTTTCCTTAGTAACGGCCTGCGTAATTATTCGTATTATGGTCAATCTTAGCAGTCTTGTTTCTTATGATTGTGTTAGTATTCTAACTATTGTTGTTTTGCTATGCTTTTGATTATTATCAGTATGCTGGCTACTGATGTTGTTGATGGTTGTGATGGTGGTGCTGAAGATGAGGATGGTGGTGATGATGATGATGATGACGATGCTGTTGATGGTGATGCTGATTAGTACTACTATTGTTATTACTGTTGTTGGTTATTGTTGCAAGTTTTAGTAGTGTTCTCATTACCAGTAGCATTAATATAAACACTATGATTATCATTATTCATATTAGTACCATTATGCTGATCATGAGTGCTATTTCTGGTATTGTTCTTTTATCCGTATAACTCCAATTATTCATGCTAATACTGTGTGTATTGTGTGTGTGTGTGTGTGTCTGTGGCCACGTTGTCCCTCCTACGACTTCCCAGGTCCTCAAGGGAGGAAAGGTCAGGCGGTAGCGTCCCATGGCAATTTGCTACCTCCGTCCGCGCCTCGCTGGTGGCCATCGTTTGGCGTCTTGGTCGGTCGCTGTACTCCTTGCTTTTCCGTCGTGTCCGCGCTATGCCTTCCATGTGGGACGTTCCTTTGGACGGTGGCCAGTGCGCTTTCCTTTCTCTCCGCCATCCACGCCCAGATGGCAATGTGCTGCCCCCTTCTGAGCCATCGCGCGCGGGCACCAGCCTAGGTTTCGGCCGCCGCACTTGACTTGTTCGCCTCGTCTCCGCGCGCAAGGCCGCGAACATCAAACAGTGTGTGTGTGTGTGTGTGCGGGTGTGTGTGCGTGTGTGTGTGTGTGTGTGTGTGTGTGTGTGTGTGTGTGTGTGTGGGTGTGTGGGGGTGTGTGTGCGTGCGGCGCGCATGTTTTTACAACGCGTTGCAGGCCCATCCTGGGTCCCATGATGGCAGAATCGTTGAAATTCCCACGCTGGCGAGGAGCGCGTTTCGGGGCCTGGGGTCAGCCACGGCGGCGGTAAAGTGTGCCCGCCGCCGCATGCAAGGATGGGGGACGCGGAGGCTGGGCCGGGTCATGCTGGGTCGGCGTCAGGGGCGTTGGCGGCAGCCCCGAAAACTTTTCTTCTCGGGGAATGCAGGCAGAGAGTATACCGTCTTGGGCGGCTTCCAAGTCGGGTCGGCGTGCAGACAGCCAGTGCCTCCACGAGTCGGAGCTCGCCCTGCCAGTGCAGGGGCCTCGCCCTCCAGCGGCAGCGCGGCGCCCCCCTTCAGACCTCTGACAGAGGGCTTTTTCGTTCACGGCGTGTGCTCCCAGAGCCTCAGACCCTATCCCCAGGACGCGTTTTTTGTCCCTACCTAGGCTCTGCCTAGAAGGGTTCTTACCGTGTTTGCTTAAGGGGCCGGGCAGTGGAACCCGCCCGTGGCGGTTCCCCCAGTGACGTTCCCTTAGCTTAGCGTTGCTTATCTCATCTTAGCTTAGCTTATTTCATCTTAGCTTAGCTTAGCTTCATCTTAGCTCAGGTTTATCTTAGCTTAGCTTGCCTTCATCTTAGCTTCGCCGAGCTTTAGCATAGCAGAGCACAGCATAGCATAGCAGAGCGTAGCACAGCACAGCGCAGCACAGCATATCATAGCAAAGCCCAGCATAGCACAGCATAGCGCAGCATAGCATAGCATAGCACAGCACAGCACAGCATAGCATATCATAGCATGTCATAGCATATCATAGCATAACATAGCATATCATAGCGCAATTTAGCATAGCATATCATATCATAACATAGCTTAGCATAGCACAGCGCAACATGACATATCATAGCTTATCATATCATAGCATTCCATAGCATATTATACCATAGCATAGCGCAGCATAGCATAGCATAGCATGGCATGGCATGGCATGACAGAGCATAGCATAGCATAGCATAGCATAGCATAACATAGCATAGCAACTACTGCTGCTTTCCTAGGGGCTCCAACTTCTAGGCAGGGCCGCACTGGGGGTATTATTTTTCTTTTTTGTTTGTTGCTGTCGCGGGCCGTTCTATAGTGGCCCGCGCTCCCCGGGAAGAGCGTCGGGACGGCCGCGGGCCGTTGTGGTGTGCCTCCTCCTCCTCCTTCTCCTCCTCCTCCTCCCTTTCCTCCCCTCCTCCTCCTCCTCCTCCTCCTCCGCCTCCTCCGCCTCCTCCTCCTCCTCCTCCTCCTCGCCCCTCCTCCCCCTCCTCTCCCTCCTCCTCCCCCTCCTCGCTCCCCAAGGGTGTGCCACGAAACCCAGATCAGGCCCAAGACGCGCCCGTCGTGCCCCTGCCCAGAAGCACTCAGTGAAAGCAAACGCCCCACTTCGAGAGCGCAAGCGCCTCTCAAAACACCCGGGTCCCCTGGGACGCTTCAGCAGCAAAGCGAAAAGAGCAGTGGACGAGGAGGAGGTCGAGACGGAGGGGGAAGGAGAGAGCAATTGTAGAGGGGCAAGAGTCGCTGTGGATCAGGAGGAGGGGGAGGAGGAGGAGGAACGGTGACAGTCGCAGGAACACGGACAAAGACGAGGAGGAACACCCAGTCTCTCACACGAGGTGCGGAGGAGCATCAGATGATCGACGGAAGCTCCTTGGCTGATCAAGTCAAGCCCCCTGCATATCCAACCCCTGGCTTGGGAACTCGAGTCCGACACGGGACGCGCGCGCGTGCAGACTTGTGAGTGGGAGGATTGTCAGTATCCTGCGAAACGCCAGGTTTCCGGCGCTCTCAGAAGCTCAGGGCTCCTCCTCCTCCTCCTCCTCCTCCTCCGCCTCATCCTCCCCCTCCTCCTCCCACCCCCTTCCCTTCCCCCCTCCGCCTCCTCCTCATCCTCCTCCTCCTCCTTTCTCTCCTCAACCTCTCCCTCCTCCTCCTCAGGGAGCCCGATCAACGTGATCTGCTATTCGCTCACCCCTTGACCCGCGCCCAGGGAATCGGCCAGGGATTTCGGGGTATGGTTTCGTGGCTTGTGTTCTGCCAGGTAGTACGCTACTCTGGCATCTCTTCTCCGAGTCTCCAGTTGGTTTCTGGCTTCTGGGCTGGGGGCAGTTGGGCCTCCAGGGCCGTCCATGCGCAGGCTCGTCGCCAGCCTCGAAAGCAGGGGGTGCAGGAGAGTGGCGGGGGTGTTGGTTGGGTGGGGGTGATGGAGGGATACGCTGGGGAAAAGGGGCGGGGAGGGGGCATGGACATTTGGGACAACAGGGCCTGGGGAGGAGGGGGTGGAGGTGGAGGGGCATGGCGGGTGGAGGGAGAGAACCAAGGCGACTCCCCTCCTCCCTCTTCTCCGCCTCCTCCGGCCTCTTCCTCCTCCTGTTGCCCCTTCTTATCCTTTGGCTCCCCGTTGCCTTCTTCGTTTTCCTGGGTTTGGTAAATTGCTGCGCGGATCCAATGGCGGCGAGTGAATCGCGCCCGGCTCCGAGCAGAAGGCCCAAGCCTCGTCACGGGGCAAGTATTGCGAAGGCCGTACGGCCAGTGCCGCCGACCCTGACTGGCGACGACGACGGCGACGACGAGCGCTCGAGGCGTCTCCCGCCTGCTGCCCGTCGCACCGTGGCCGTCCCGGCTCGGCGCTCCTCCACCCGCTCTCGGTGCGGGGGGCGCAGACCCCCTCGTGCTGTGAGGAGATCACGACGGGAGTTGTTTTTCGTTATTGTCGGCCTCAGGGGGCCAGTATTGGGCCCCAGGACCGTCAAACAAATTACTTCGACGGTGGGACTCCACATGATAATCCTTTTAGCTTGCCCCTCCCTTGTTCCTCTTCGCCTTGGCGGATGCCCGCCCTCCTCCCGCCCTCTGTTGCGCCTCCTCCCCCTCATCATTATTCTCGCCCTTCGCCTCCTCCTCCTTCTCGTCCTTCCCCCTCCTCCTCCTCCTCCTCCTCCTCCTCCTCCTCCTCCTCCCGCCCCTTTTCCTCCTCGTTCTTCTTCTCCTCCTCCTCCTCTTCATCATCCTCGCCATCCTCTCCACTGTCCTGCCTGTTCTCCCCATGCACCTCCCCTGCCTGCTGGCCGGGGCAAGTCGATTTTCCTCGGCGCATCTGCCGCCACGGCCGGCATGGGCGCGTTCTCCGATGGCCGGATCGTGAAGCCGTTGGGACAGCCCCGCGGGCCGCTGGGGCGCGAGAACCAGCAGTTGGGACAACCCAGTAGGTCTCGATCTAAACGCGATCGCGCTCGGGCGGGGGTGGCACGAAACCCAGCTTTGCCGCGAGCTGCTCCGCCTCAGCCATGGAGTTCCCCTCGGACGCTTTCCGCAGGGACGCCGGCGGCCCGCGCTCCAGGAACGCCCGCGTAGGCGGCCGCGGATGACCCGCTCGGAAAAGTAACGTGATCAGCGGGCCCCACGGAGAGGGCCTCCGCCTTAGACTTCCTTGCGATCCATTCACAGACGAGGTTCCCGCTTGATGCGCCCGATATTTCCTCCATACAGGGATGAGAACCCCCCACGGGGACGACAGTTGCAGGTTTGCGGACGATCCGCTCGGATTACCAATGTCAAACGCGGGCCCCGCATGGAAAAGGCTCTGGCCTGAGACTTCTTCGTGATTCATTCACAGACGACGTTCCTGCTTGATATTTCCTCCATGTTCAGGCATGAAGACTGCCAACGGTGACGACAGTTACAGGTTTGCGGATGACCCGCTCGGATTACCAACGTGAAATGCGGGCCCCATAAGGAAGGGGTTCACGCTTGAGACTTCCTCGCGATTCGCTCACAGACGGCGTTCCTGCTTGTGACTTCCTCCAGGTTCAGGCATGCGGACCCCCAGAAGTGACAACTCTTGCAGGTCTGCGGATGACCCGCTCGTATTGCAAACGTGAAGTGCGGACCCCACAAGGACGGGGGTCCCGCTGTAGATTTGCTTACAAATCACTCACATGCGAAGCTCCCGCTCGATACATCCTTCATGTTCAGGCATGCGGACCCCCAAGAGTGACAACTTTTGCAGGTCTGCGGATGACCCGCTCGTATTGCAAACGTGAAGTGCGGGCTCCACAAGGACGGGGGTCCCGCTGTAGATTTGCCTACAAATCAGTCGCATACGAAACTCCCGTTCGATGCATCCTCCATGTTCAGGCATCACGACCCCCCAGAATTAACACTGTTGTAATTTTTCGGGGAACCCGTTCGGAGTACCAACATGAAATGTGGGCCCATGTGAAGGGGGTTCCTGCCGGACACGTCTTCGCGATTCACTCACAGAAGGTTCCCGCTTGATGCATCCTCCTTGTTCAAGCATGAAAACCCAACAGTAACGACAGTCACAAGTTTTCGAGAGACACGCTCGAAATGCCAACATGAAGTGCGGGCCCCATAGAGAGGGGGCTCCCGCTTGACATGTCCTCACAATTCACTCATAGACGAGGCTCCCGCTCTAGACTTCCTCCGTTTTCAGGCCAGGGGAACCCAAAAGTGAGGATGATGCTGATGATGATGCTGTTGGTGATGTTGCTGCTGCCGAGGATGCTGCTGCTGATGATTACGATGGTAAATCGTGACTGATGGTGGTGCTGATGGTGGTGATGAACATGGGGTGGTTGCGAGTGAATGAGTGAGTGAGGAGTGGCGATCGAATGGGCGAGTGAATGAGGGAGTGATGTTGGTGTTGTTGGTGTGATGATGGTGGTTATGATGGTAATGAGGATCTCGTGGTGTTGATGATGACGGTGATGCTGATGATGCTGATGATGGTGAGGTGTGGCTCAGTGAGTGAGTGAATGAGTGAGGGAGGGAGGGAGGCAGTGATGTGGAGAAGGGAAGAGTGGGATATGACTGCGCTGGGTGTCCAGAGAAAATAAGAACCCCATTCAGGATGTGGGGACTATTCAGGATGAAGAAGCAGTCCCGGAGAAGGGGTCCAGACTTCTGGGGGCCGACGTGGTGAGCAAATCACGAAGTCGGGGGTATGGGACCCGCCCTCGGTGCGGAGAGGGTGGAGACAACAAGGCTCCGCAGCTGGGGCGCCGTGCCAGCTACGCTGAGGGAGGAGGAGGGGGGAGGATTCAGGAGGAGTGCGAGGAGTGGATGGCCCTGGCGGGTACGCGTGCTGTGAAGCCTGCGCCTCCGCCCCGAGGTCTCTTTTCTGCGGCCCCGCACCGCGGCCGTCCCGCTGCGGCGCTTCTCCCACGCGCCCTCGGTGCGGGGTGGGGGGGAAAGAGGGCTCCGCAGCTGGGGCGCCGTGCCAGCCACGCTGAGGGAGGAGGAGAGGGAGGACCGAGGGCTTGAAATCCGACCCCAACCCCACCAAGCAGGGCTACTGAACTTCACATGTGGCGGTGAAGGGGGGGGTCGATGCCCTTGCCCTCGAGGACGAGGAGGAGGGCGAGGAGTGGATCGCCCTGGCGGGTGCCCGGGCGGCGAGGGCCGCGCCCCCAGCGGCTCCCAGCGGCTCCCGCGGCGGCAGGGCGCCTCGGCGAAGCTGCCATCTCCACCGCGGCCCCGCTTGCTCCCCCGCCTGCTTCCGAAGTCATGCTCCTCGGGCGCCCGTCTCGCCGCTGAAGGGTCCTTCCTGCGCGTCAGCACAGGAAGGGCCCTGTAGCGAGAGCGGCGGCCGAGGAACACGACTTGAGAAGCTTCATGCTGTGGTCGGTGTGGTCGGCACGCCGCCCGTCTCTGCCAGATCTGGGGCCGCGGAGGGCATCCAAATCCCATCCCCTCGTGCTTCTCGCGCTCGCTTCCCTGAGCGCCGCCGACGTCGATCTATTCTTCACGCTCGCACTCGTGCTCGAAATAACTGCTCAGTGCTCGCGGGACGTCTGTGCGTTCACCACTAGCTTCGTTCGCTTCGCCACCATCCCCGACTGTCCCCGCGTTGTCCCCGCTGCCTGGTGCTGTCATTGTTCCCGTCCGTTTTCCATCAGCCCACTCCAACCCAGCGCAGCGTCCATATCGGGCGTCCAAGAGAGGGCCTCGCCTTCGAGGGATCGCGAGGTTGCCTTTTCTTCCTCGGCGGACGGCGGCGAAAGGCCGGCGGACGGCGCCTCAGTCGTCGGAAGCTGGCGGAAATGCGAAGTGTGTCCTCATGAGATGCTTTTTTGGTGGGTTCAGGCTTGCCAGAACGGGCGACATGCTTAGCGCTGGTGTGTGTTTTCCATCCGTTCGCCGTGGCCGTCTTGGCTCGAGGCCTTCGGCTCAGGACTCTCCAAGGACCCCATCGGCGAATCGCGCGCGCACGGCGCCGCCACCTGGGGGGGCCGTAGTTGTCAGATGGCCCGCCGCCAGGACATGTACCCGGCCTGGGTCGGCTGGACCAGCTCCCAGCTGCGCCCGGCGGAGTCGCGCACGGGCCCATCCGCCGAGGCCCGGCGGCGCGCACTGGGGGGCGGCCCTCGTGCCTTCGCCTCCGCCCCGCCCCCCCTGCATTCCTGGAAGGCGGCCCCCCCTCGCTCCCCCTCCCCCCCTCTTGCGTCAGGGTGCAGCTCCAGGCAGGCGAGTCTCGTCTCGTTCTTTCCAGCCCCGCGCAGTCCGGCGCTCGGTCCCGCTCGGCCCCAGGCTCGCTCCGGCCTGAGCCGGCCGAGTGGTCTCTCCATCGGGCTCCGTAGCCACTCCTCCTTCCTTCTGATGAAGGCCTCTCATCAGGAGTCGCTTCCTAACCCCCGAGGCCTGCAGACAACAAACCCTCCCCCTGCCTGCTTGGAAGGCCCCTCCCCTTGCGCGCCGCCGAGAGGTCGCGTACCTGCCCGTGCGCCGCGAGCCCGACGCCCTCTGCTCGCCTGGTGAGGTCGCGTACCTGCCCGTGCGGCGCGGGTGGGCCGAAGGCGAGGGGCGGCGGGGGCGCGCGCCGCTCTGGGGCAGCACCGAGGCGGCAGCGGCGGCAGCGGCGAGTGCGAAGTGCTCTGCCGGCGGCCACGACGGCCTGGGCTGCGAGGCGGGCGTCCGCTGAGAAGGGACACGTCGACGCGCCGACACCAAACGAGGAGGAGGTCGACTACAGAAATGATTGACCCCCAAAGCGACATGTTCGTCGTGTCTACGAAGAGTACGTCGGATGTTCGCAGGTCTTCGAGCATTCTGCGTACTCTTGGTGCAGGTTCGACGAAGACACGTCTGGGGTACATCAATTCTGTAGTCGATCCCGCACTCGAACCGATGCCCTGCCCTTGCCGCCGTCTTTTCTGTGCCTCCTTTTGGGCCTTGCGATCCTGATCGGAGCGCGCCCCGGGAGAGAGCTCCCGGGAGCAGCGGTATCGGTATCTTGTTTCGGCCACGCGCAGAGGGGGGTCGGGGGAGGGCCAAGGCTCGGGCCTTATCTATGGATGTAAGGCCAGCGCCTTCTAAGGAGCAGTCTCCTATGAAGCCTTCCCCCCTCCCTTCAACCCCTTGCGCGCGCCGCCAATTGTTGTTCCCCCAGGGCATGGGGGAGGCCATGGCGGTGATCAAGAACTTGCCCAGCAGGTGCAGGGGGGAGGCAGTGGTCGACGTGATCGACAGGCTTGGCTTCCTCACCAGCGTCAGCGAGTTCTGCATGCCGATGCGCGTTGGGAAGGGCAACCGGCTGCTGAACAGGGGCTTCGCCTTTGTCTACTTCGCAGACGCGGGCGTGTGCAGGCAGTTCGTGGAGGCGGCCGGGGGGCATCGAGGGTTCGGGCAGCACCCCAGCGGCCGTGCCATCTCCGTCGTCTTCTCCCAGGGCGCCGGCGGCGCCTCCCGAGAGAGGGGCCGTGGAGGGGCCTGACGGCGATGCTCCGGGCGGCCAGCAGCCCCGGCGGCGGCACAGGGTGGCGGGGGCCGGGAGGCAGCGGGGCGTCTCCTGGCGGGAGGGGTCGTGCGGGGGCAGGGCCACGGGCCAAGCAGGGGCGAAGCGTCTTGGCTGGCCTGCAGGCCCACCAGAGGACGTTCTAAGGACTTCCTGTCTGCACGGGGCTGTTTTTAGAGTGTTTCTTCTGCACGGGACTTCCTGTCTGCAGAAGATGTTCTTAGAACGTTTCTGGCTGGGACTGTCTTGTTTGAACACATCGGGCTTTCGTTATAGAATCATTGCTTTTGTTTTTGGAACGTTTGTGGGTTCTAAGAACATGTCGTGGTGGGCCTATAGGAGTGCCGGGACGGTCGGTCCCTGCCCAAACGGGAGGGGAGCCGCGGACACGCGCAGATGGCCTGACACGAGCCCGACCTGCTGGGGCCCGCTGGCCACGGCCGGAGGGAGGCTGGCCCCAGGGGGCTGTGGAGCAGCTGGTCGTTGTGTCCCTGCGGCGGAGCCGCGGGCGAATCGCGCAGCGAGGCATTCTCAGAGATCCAACGTGTTGACAAACATTGTTTTAGTCCGCATTTCTTCGCCAACTTCGCAATCTTCGGCCGAAGGTTTTTGCCAATTTTGCAATTCGTCGCCTTGAAAGATCAAGACGGAGGTTTTTCGCAATTTCCAGCCTCTAGGGGCCCTCGCCAGGCCCTGGGCTTGTCAAACAGTCCTGGGGAATGGGCCGAGACTTCGGGGGGCCCCGTACGGCAAAAAATCACGACATCGGATCTCTGGGTTCGGGCTGGAGTTTCAACTTGTTTCGAACGCCAGGGGCGTCGGGATCTGGCACTGGTCGGGGGACCTGGCTGGCGCACCCTAAGCGTTGCTTCCAAGATCAATCTCTTGGAGCCAGCGGGCGCAAGCGAGTCGAAGCTGGTGCAGGCGCCAGTCGGGCCTCGCGCGGGACACGCTGGGAACGAATTGAGGCACAGCAGAGCAGGACGCGGGAAAGGCGAACAGGCGGGCTTCCAAGCAAAACCATCGACTTGCGATTCAGGGGCTGCAGAAGCAATGAGCACAGTGATTGCTTTGTACAGATCTTGCCAACTGATCCCTCCTTTCTCATGTTGTGCTGGATGTATTGTTCTGGCCGTTAAGGCCGTTTAATACAGGGCTGCCGCACAACATTTTGGCAGGCGCAGGGACGATACGTTTTTAGGGCTAGTCTGTACTAGTCGCACTCTGGCTTATCCGTCTCTTCTCCTCTCCCTCATGTGGCTGGTGGTTTTCTATTCTTGGCCTGGGCCAGGGTTTGAAGCACCCGACGCGCGTGATAGCCGTTTTTGGTAACCACGCTGCCCACTCTCCCTCGTCGACGTCGTCGTCGTCGTCGTCGTCGTCCTCATCGTCGTCGTTGTCCTCATCGTCTCCTCCTCCTCCTCCTCCTCCTCCTCCTCCTTCTCCTCCTCCTCCTCCTCCTCCTCCTCCTCCTCCTCCTCCTCCTCCTCCTCCTCCCCTTCCTTCTCCTCCCATCCTCCTCCTCCTCCTCCTCCTCCTCCTCTCCTCCTCCTCCTTCTCCTCCTCCTCTTCCTCCTCCTTCCCCTCCTCCTCCTCCTCCTCATTCCCCTCCTCCTCCTCCTCCTCCTCCTCCTCCTCCTCCTCCTCCTCCTCCCTACTCGTGTCGGCTAGGCCTCGCGATCTCCAGTGGCAGTGCCACATTGGACCTGGGGGCTCCTCAGGACCGGCCTCAAGTTGGGCGTGTCCCTCTACAGGAGGAATATTCAAAAATGGCAAAAAAGTCAGGGGGCAATGTTTCAATGTTCTTTTTGATTATGTTTGGGCATGTTTGGGGTACTTCTTATTTTTCGTCCAGAGTCCGCCTGCAGGAGGACATGCCCGACCTAAGACCGGCCTCCTCTTCCCGAGCCACCCTTGGACGGTCCTGGGGCCCGCGGAGGGCCCGCGGAGGGCCGAGAGCGACGCAGAAGCTCCAGGGCCCCTCTCCTCCAGGACCCCTTGCGTCGTTTGCGTCACGAAGCAGCCGCCCACCGAGCGACCCGTGGGGCCCCGCCGCTGCGCTCCCCATGATCGGCCGAGGCTATCCTCATCGAGGAGCCGACCCTTCAGGGGCAACGATAGGGGGGGATAGACATAAGGGGGGATGCATCGAACCCCAATCGCCCATTGATCGCCGATAGGGGCCCGATAACCACAACCGGCCCATGAAGGTGCGGATTCACTACGGGGGGCATACCGCCGATCTATCGGCGATGTATCGCCGATTCCAGGTCGATGCATCCCCCCCATGCCAGTCGCCCCCTATCGTTGCCCCCCAACTCTGTACACCGATGCTTATTCTGACCCCGCACCGAACTTTGCAAGCAGGAGAGCGCATCCTGGTGTATACGGGATTCTGGTGCATACATGTTTCGTTGCTTCCCCGGGAAGACGGGGGAACAAGACTACACCAAACCGTCCCGACGTCGTCCCCGACCCTCGAAAACTCCTGGGATTGAAAAACAGCCCGCCACGGGTAATGTAATTACATGCTTCAGTTTCCGACTTAGCATGGCCGAGTCCGAGCCAGTTGCCCCGCATTCGAGTGCTAACCCAGATGGTCCTGTGCTCTCCAACTCCCCCCTTCCCCCCCCTCCCAGACCAGTTCTAGGTCGGATAACCCTGGCGCCCCCTTGTCGCAACGCGATCACAACGGAAGGCTTTCGCTTGTTTTCGGCTTCGGGGGGCTCACCAGGCCCCGTCACCAGCCTGACATGTATCCCTATCCCTATGATTGGCATCACCTCATCTCGACTCCGATCTTAAGGATTCGTGCAGATTCTGGGGGCGCACCCCTAAGATTGTCATAGCCTGTTTGCTTCTCAGTATGATGGATAGGGTTAAGCTCGAGGCTGTTACTCCGGGGCCGCCAGAACACTGCTCAGGATTAAAAGCTAGCCCCTGGGAAGGGGTCCAGACGTCCAGACCTTTGGGGAGCCACGTTGTCAAAAACATTCACGACGTCGGACGTCCGGGAAAATAGAGGGGATCAGGAAAAAGGGGATCCCGTACTCTGCTGCGTGCAGCTTATTTCGGCCCTGCCGTCGGGCGCTTCCCCTGACGCATGGCCGCTCCAGGCTCGGGGAGGCTCCTTGGAAAACGGACTGCACGCGGCCGGTTCGCTGAACCCACTCTCTGCGATCCCCTCCTTCCGCGCGGCCCGACCCCCCCCCCCCTCCCCTACTGCACGACCTCCGGCAGAAGACGACCCCTGCGTTTTTTCTTGTCTGTGTGCATGTTTGTTTTGTTTGCTTGTTTGTCTGTTCGCTCGTTCGTTCGTTCGTTCGTTTGTTTGTCTGTCTGTCTGTCTGTTGGTCTCTCTGTTGGTTTGCTTGTTGGTTTGTCTGCCCGTCTTTCCGTCTACCTGCTTGCTTGATCGCTCGCTCGCTTGCCTGCTGGTCCGTCGGCTTGCTCGCTTCCTCCCTTCGACCCCGTTGCTGCCCTCCCTTCCCCTCCTCGCTTCCGGCCTCTGGGAGGCCGCTCCCGGGTCTGGGGCCGTCAAGCCAAGGCCCAGGACCAGAAGGCCACGGCTCGGCTACACGTGTAAGAGTGGCCTTGGAGGAGGAGGAGGAGGAGGAGGAGGAGGAAAAGGAGGAGGAGGAGGAGGAGGAGGAGGAGGAGGAGGAGGAGGAGGAGGAGGAGGAGTGACCTTCGGCGCGGGTCCGCTGGGGTCCCCGATCGCTGACACATTGATGCGGCGGCAGCGGCCCGCGCGCTCGGGTGTTGGCCCCGCCGCGCCCCCCCCCTGAAAAGCCGCGCGCCGAGTGGGGTATCGCACCTGGGGTCGCTCTTGCGTTCGAGTCGGGGATCGACGATAGAACTGGTGCACCCCAAAATTTGGTTTTCTCGTCGACTGTACGGTCGGTCTGTAGATCTGGTTCGCAGATGTACGGGGCAGTCTAGCATGTTTCGCAACCCCGACGACGAGATCAATTCTGGGGTAAAGCAATTGTGTAGTCGATCCCCTACTCGATGCGTGTATCGGGATCCCGCAAACTGTGTTTGTGTCTCTGCAGCGGTGTGTGTGTGTGTGTGTGTGTGTCTGGCTTCGACTGGCGCGATTCCTTCCCGAAGAGGCACCTGGTGTGCTTCGTGTCGGCTGTATCTTGCCTCCGCCGTGCCCCTCCCTCCCTCCTCCGGCGCGCCGCCGTCTCTCCCTTGTTCCCCTCCGTGCTGCTCCCCCCCGCACGCCTCCCTGCCCGAACAGGCACCCGGTGCGCTTCGTGCAGGCTGCACCTTGCCCTCGCCCTGTCCATCCCCCCCCCGTTCGGCGCGCCAGCTCTTCCTCGCTCCCCCCCGTCCTGCCCCCTCCCCGTTCCTGCTCGAAGATGCACCCGGTGCGCTTCGTGCAGGCTGTACCTTACCGCCGAGATGGGGCCTCTGCGCGAGCCGCTCCATCGGCGGCACCACCAACGCCCTGCACCCCCGTGGCGAGCTCGTGGCGGCACCGACGACGATCGCGGGAGGAGGCTTGGAGTTCTGGCGGCCCGGAGGGAAGCGCCGCGCACGTGTTTTTCTTGCTCGCCGTGGTGTATGCCCGGGGGCCGTTTCCCGAGGGTGGCGGCCTTCGAAGCCTGCGGGGGGCCTTTTAGAAGGACGGGGCCCGCTTAGAACTTACTCGCCCTCCCAGCGTCTACGAAGCCTTTTTCAGAAGTTCCCAGGCCCTTCTAATTAGGTTCCTTCCTTCTAAAGAGCCCCCCGCCTTCTTAGAACGCCCACACCCTGGCGCCACCCCGTTTCGCGTGCCGTCAGCAGGATGACACGTATGTGCCTGTGAAGGGTTCGAGGGCTCCATGGGCCTGCGAGCCGGAAAAGTCCAGTCGTCGGAAGTCTTGGACGGTGTCGCTTAGATCCGACGATGCGAAACGTTTTCAACGCGGTGGAGAAACACGACTGAAGATTTCGACGATACTTGGATTGATGGGGCGCGGAACCCAGAGTTCCGACGGATTGGATTTTCAGTCTGCGCGCCCCAGAGGTCTCGACTCCCTCCCTGGGGCCATGTTCTCGTCCTGGATTTTTGTTTGATGGCCCTAGGGCCCAGACGCGGCTTTGGGAGGCTGGACCTACGAAAAAGAACGAGGGGTTTGAAAGCATCGATCTGTCAGAGGCCTGGGAATGGAGAGCGGATTCGGTGCATGGTGCGCGCTACAGGTTCACCTGCCACATAATCGCTGAACAGAGGGCTGGAACTTCCAGCTTGGCATCTTGACTGTGAGTCAGAATGCTGCGGGCTTGATTTATTTTGCCAGGGAGGTCTTCCTCCAAGGCCACGCGTAGGCAGCCAAGCGTGGAGATAAGAATAATTGTTCAACCCAGGAGATTATTATGACGTAGTGATGGCCATCAGCACTTGTAGGTTTTTTCTTATCTCCAGCTGGTCTGTTCTGTGCTCATTGATAGGTTTGGTTTTCTGCATTTCTTGCTATGTCTCTCCCTCTTTCTCTCTTCCTCTCTCTCTCTCTCTTTCTCTCTTTCTTGCATTGTCCCTCCTCCTCTCCTGCCACCTTGCGTTTGGCGCACGGCTCGATTTGTTGGCCGTGACGCCTCTTGTGTCGCCAACTTTCTGCTGTTATTTTGCCGTGCCGGTCTTGTGGGTTCATACTGGTGCCGGCTCTATGTCTCGATTCGGATGCAACGCAAAAACAGTTCGCCTGTAGCCCCGTGGTCCAGAGTAGCGGGGTTGCCTCTAACAATTCCGTTGCGGTTTCGGTTCGCTCGCCACAGGCCCCGCGGACTAGCGCTGCATTGCTGCTGGGGCATCGGTTTGATCGATCGCATCGACAGACCTCGACTGGCTCCGCTGCCTTGCCATGACCAGCTCCGACATGCCTCACTGCGATGTTTCTGTGCCGTTGGATCTTTCCACTGGCCTTTCGCCACCAGCCCTGTCTAACACCACCTGGTTGGCCCTGCCGCCCAGTTGGTTCCCGTTTGTTCATCACTCCTAGCGACGTCTAGTCCCATTCGTGCCCTCGGGCGACGACATCTATACATATCCACTGCTCCTGGCCTAGCCCATCATGGACCCAGGAGCTGTGTATGCACCCTGCTGGCCAAGCCAGGAGGGCGTGGCGTATACACCGCTGCTGGGTTCAGGATGGGCCTGGCCAGGGAACAGTGGATATGTATAGATTTCGTAGCCCTAGGCCCTGCTGCCAAGTGCTGCCAAGATTTCAGTCCTTCTGCCTCCTGTCCCGAGATCGCCCCCCGACTGGCTCCCTCCTCCCTGCCCTCGCCCTCGACAGCACCTTCCCTGAGGCTCCCTCAGTTCCTGGCCCTCGCCCTCTCAGCTCTCACGATCGCCCTCGCCGTGACTCTAAGCCTTACCCCGCCCTCGCCTGTTCCCTGGTTTTCCCCCATCACCGTCACCTCGACCCTCGACCTTCAACGTTCAATCCCCGTCTCATCCATCCCTCAAGCTCCTACCCTCCCTACTCCTCCTCCTCCGTCCTCCCTCCTTTCTCCTCTCCGTCCTTCCTCCCTCCCTGCCTCCCTCCCTGTCTCCCCCCTCCTACCCCTCGACCCTCGACCCTCGACGTTCAGTCCCCGTCTCTTCCATCCCTCAAGCCCCTACATATCCTCCCTACTCGATCTCTCTCCTCCTCCTCCTCCTCCTCCTCCTCCTCCTCCTCCTCCTCCTCCTCCTACTTCCTCCCTCCTTTGTCCTCCCGCTTCCCTCCTCCCTCCTCTTTCGAGCCTTGCAAGTCTCTAGGCAGGGTGGGGGTCCCCCTTAGGCCCCCTCAGATGCCCCGGAAACAGGCCGTGGAGGCTTGAGAGCCAGCAGCCGAAGTAGTGGTAGTAGGAAGGGGCTCTCGCCTGATGGTGCTCCAGCCTACAAGTACCCAGGAACTCGAGGGTTTTCACGTGCCGGGCCCTGGGAGACACTCGCCCGACACTGCTTCGACACTGTTTCGACATTGTTTCGACACTTTTCCAGGTGCTCAAAATTATTTCTGGGATGTGGTCCTTAAGTACGTTAGGAGCAACATAACTCTCGACCGCAGGCGCACCGCATGCAAGGCCTGTCGAACAGAACGATGGCAACCAGCGGCCCCGACACCGGCAGAGCCAGAACGCATTTTCGCCAGCCTCGCCGGGATGCCACGATCGACGTGCGCCGCAAGTACATCTGAGTCGGGCCTGTCCCTCTACAGGAGGAATGTTCAAAAATAGTCAAATAGTATGGGGACGATTTTTCCCTGCCTAGGCTCTGCCTAGAAGGGTTCTTACTCGGTATGCTCAAAGGGCCAGGCAGTGGACCTCGCCCCGGGCGGTTCCCCCAGGTTCCGCCCCGCGGTTCCCCCAGTCCCCTGGGAGTTTTAGCTTTAGCTCTAGCTTTAGTCTTAGCTTTAGCTTTAGCTTTAGCTTTAGCTTAGCTTTAGCTTAGCTTCAGCTTAGCGTTAGCTTAGCTTTAGCTTAGCTTAGCTTTAGCTTAGCTTTAGCTTAGTATTAGCTTAGCTTTAGCTTAACTTTACTGTTACTACTAATGCTGCTTTCCTATGGGCTCCAACTCCTAGGTAGGGTCGCACTGTTTTTTTTGTTTTTGTGTGTGTGTGTGTGTGTGTGTGTGTGTGTGTGTTTTTGGATAAGTTTTTTTTTGGATAATTTTAGACTATTTGTCTGACTATTTGTATTTGTTCGTCCAAACTCCGCCTGTATGGGGGGCATGCCCGACCTAAAAGTACATCTCCGAGGAGGCGAGCGGCCGGCAGATCAGGAGCCCCGCGCCACAGGCACCGGGGAGCCGCGCGCCCGGCGCGCTTGCGGTGCCTAGAGGTTGACACCAACACCAAGATCGGCGGTGTGCCTCCTCCGAGGGATGTCGATCCCAATCTTGGTGATGGTGGTAATATTCTGGCTTCCAAGGTGACCGAAAAATTACCACCAACACCGAAATCTAGGATCATCTTCCTCATGTGGAGGCAACCCCCTGTGCTGGTGTTGGTGCCAATTTCCAGGCCTCCAATGTCTCGGCACGAGCGACATGGGTACGGAAAGAATGGGTGCAGTGCCCAGCAGCGCTTCCTGCTCATTTTGAACAGGACTCCCTGTCGGTGTCGCCGCGGCCTGTGTGCATTTGAGATAGAAGGCCGCCTGTCCAACAGCGGCCGCTGCTGGTTTGGGACAACATTTGTTGTTGGGCATTGCGCCCATGTTTTCCGTACCCATTCCAGGCGTCCAAAATGTCCACCGAGCACGCATCTCGGCGGCGAGCGAGGGGGGGCAGATGAGAAGGGGAAGGCCTTGTCAGAAGGCGGCGGGGCTTCTCAGAAGCCCTCGCGCCTTCTGAGGGGTTTTCTGCGTCTGCGGGGAAGGCTTAGGAGCCTTACTCAGAATGCTGGGGGACTTTCGAGCCTTCTGAGAAGGCCCGCCCTTCTCACTTCCCCCCAGGCTCGCCGCCGAGTGTTCTATGCCCAAAAGCCTCCGTAACCACACGTTCCCACTACAAGGCAACACGTGTGTGAGTGAGGTAATCGAGCCTCCGAGACGGTCGGGCTCAACCAGGGAGGCGTCGACAGGGTGGTCCATGATATGGAAGCCTGTCGCAGCTGGGCAGATAAGGCATGGCCAAGAGCTTGATGATACATGCCCGCCGCCAATCCTCGGCATGTCTATGGGGTGACGGGCCACTTTCCCACCACCGCTACCATAGGCGGGATGGGGGAGAAGGGAGGATGGGGAAGTCCTCCTCGTCCTCCTCCTCCTCCTCCTCCTCCTCCTCCTCCTCCTCCTCCTCCTCCTCCTCCTCTCTCTCATACCTATGGTAGTGGTGGTAGGAAATCGGCCCATCATGGGGTACAGGTTAACCACGAAAGGAGCCCAGCCAGCCAGCCACGGCACGGGCGCAGCTCCAGGATACGATGGGGCAGCGCGGACCGCACCGCGGATCGGAACTGACACGGCCACGGGCGCATTCTGACCCAAGTGGGGGGCGAGTTCTCGCTTGAGCCAGAGTGGCTACGTACCCCTCCCGTCTCCCTCCTCGTCCTCGTCCTCCTCCTCGTCCTCGTCCTCCTCCTCGTCCTCGTCGTCGTCGTCCTCCTCCTCCGTAGCCGTTTTGGCTCAAGACGACGGCCTTCTTTTTTGCAGGCGCCGCCGGGGCGCTGCCCGCCATGGAGTCTGGCTGCGCCGAGGGCCTCGGCGACTTCCCCTCGGCGCGCGCGGACGTGCTTGAGCTCGACGAGCTCCTCTCCGACGAAGAGCGGGCCGTCCGCTCGCGCGTGCGCGCCTACGCGGAGCGCCGGGTGTGGCCCTCCTGTGCGGCGCTGTGGGACGCGCAGGAGCACCCGTCCGAGCTGGTGGCGGGGCTCGCGGGGCTCGGCATCGGCGGCGGCGTGCTGCCCCGCACGTGTGGCGCGGCGGGGCTCACGGCCACCGCGGCGGGGCTCGCGCTGGCGGAGCTGGCCCGCGTGGACTGCAGCCTCAGCGCCATCCAGATGATACACGGCTACCTGGTGCCCTCCACCATCTTCAACTTGGGCTCCGAGGAGCAGAAGAGGCGCTACCTGGCGCCGCTGTGCAGGTACGAGTGGCTGGGCGCATGGGCGCTCACCGAGCCCGAGGCGGGCAGCGATGCGGGGGCACTGCAGACGACCGCCACGGAGGTGGACGGCGGCTGGGTGCTGCGGGGCAGGAAGCGGTGGATCGGCAACGCCCCCGTGGCCAAGGTTGTCGTAGTCTGGGCGCGGAACGCCGCAACCGGCGCGGTCAATGGCTTCCTGGTCGAGGCGGAGGATCCGGGCCTGCGGGTGTCGAAGATGAGCGGGAAGATCGGCCTACGTTGCATACAGAACGGCGACATCGAGCTGGCCGACGTCTTCGTGCCGGAGCTGCGACGCCTCCCAGGCGCCACGGGCTTCGCCAGCACGACCGCGACGCTGGCCGCCAGTCGCGTGATGGTCTTATGGCAGCCGCTCGGGGCCGCCTGGGGGCTCTACGACGTATGCCTGAAGTACTTGTCAGAGCGCAAGCAGTTCGGTCAGCCCCTGGTGGCCTCGCAGCTGGTCCAGGCAAAGCTGATGTCGATACTGGGCCACTGCCAGGCCATGGCGCTGTTCGCGTGGCGAGTCACCCGCCGCCACGAGCGCGGCATGGTGGGCGCGCCAGAGGCGGGCCTGGCCAAGGCGTGGTGCACGCAGCGGGGGCGCGAGTGCGCAGCGCTTGCGCGCGAGCTGATGGGGGGCAACGGCATGCTCTCTCACTTCCACGTGGCGAAAACGTTCGCCGACATGGAGGCCTTCTACACCTACGAAGGCACCTTTGACATCAACCTCCTGCTGGCCGGGAGCGCGGCCACCGGCGTCGCCGCCATCCGACCCGCTGGCTCCACCAAGAGCCGGTTGTGACACGCACGCGCGCGCGCGCGGCGCACTTCTGGGGGCCTCGCGATCCTGGCGCCGTCGCAGCCGCGCCTCACACTTGTGACAGCACACACAGTTCAAAAAGAAGCGTCCACACGCACATTCCGCAGGCTTAGCCTGCCGCTGCCAGGCACGTATTGAATGTGTTCCCCATGCACGATGAATGCTTCGCCTCAGCACGAGCTCTCCTCCTCCTCGATCCTCGCCGCCTCCCCTCCCCCCTCCCCCCCCAAGGACGCCCCCTGGGGCCCGAAGTTGCTCGCGCTTCGCGCTTCGCGATTCGGCTCCGATTCCTCCCCTATCCTCCTCTTCTCCCCTGGGGGGGGCGGCGCGAGAGAGCGCCAGGGTGTCCGCGCTGCGCGCTTTGCGCAGCGCGCAGCGCGAAGCCGGGCCGGGGGCAATTGCCCCTGGCCCGCCTTGGGGGGGGGGGGGCAGAGGGCCTCGTGCTCTGGAAAGGCGTGCTTCTGCCCTGGGCCGCGTGCTCTTGAATGGGCGTGCTTCGAAGCCCCGGGTCCGGCCGCAGTCGTGCCCAGGAGCCCGGCGTGCCGGGCCTCGCTGCGGCCGCCCGCGGGCCCGACGCGGGGCGGGCGGGTGCGCCCGGGGTGCCGTCGAGGGGCGCGTTTTTGTTGTTGTTGTTGTTGTTGTTGTTGTTGTTGTTGTTGTTGTTGCTGTTGCTGTTGTTGCTGTTGTTGTTGTTGTTGTTGTTGTGGTTGTGGTTGTGGTGGTTGTGGTTGTTGTTGTTGTTGTTGTTGTTGTTGTTGTTGTTGTTGTTGTTGTTGTTGTTGTTGTTGTTGTTCGTTTTGTTGTTGTTGTTGTTGTTGTTGAACTCCCACCACTGAAGAGTAATTGTTTGTGATTCCCCCTCCGGAGACCGGTGACCATAGTGTTTTTTCAATTGAAGTGCTTCCTCCGGGGCTCGCACACAGTTTTTTATCAGGGGAAGTCTTCCTCCTCAAACTGTGTTGTTGGCCCCCGAGTTACAACAACAATGGCTCCCGCCTGCTTCCTCACAGTTTATTCCTAAATCGCGCTCTCGCGCGGGACTTCCTCATACCATCGCGCTCTCGCGTGGGACTTCCTCGCATTTTTATTCAGACGATGCGCTCTCGGCAACCACGCTCTCGCTTTGGCTTTTCTTGCGATTTACTTGTGAATCGCGCTATCGCTCGAGACTTCCTCGCGATTCATGCAGGACCCACGCTTCAGCAACCCGCCTGCTCGACCTCGTCGCCTGGGTCCGCCTTCCCGACCTGCCCGCTACGGGTCTGCCCATCCGATCTGCCCGTCTGGTTCTACCACTTGTTTTCTGCTCCTTGCCCCCCACCCGTCCTCTCTTCCCTTGTTTTAGGGGCTGCACTAAATACACGTGGCAGGTAAGGAAGATATACCCCCAAGGGGGTACGATCGAAGGCGACGAGGGCGGGTACAGAGGGCTTGGGACATACGTATTCATTGGCGCGTGAGCAGATCGTAGCGAGCAGTCCCGAACTTGTTGTTGTTGTTGTTGTTGTTGTTGTTGTTGTTGTTGTTGTTGTTGTTGTTGTTTCTTCTGTTTCTGTTTTCGTTGTTGTTGAATTCTCATTACTGAGCAATAGTTATTGTTGCCCCCCCCCTCCGGTGCACATTGTATTTTCTCACTTGAAGTGCCCCTCCTCATCAGGGAAAGTCTTCTTCCTCAAACTGTGTTGTTGGCCCCCGGGTTATAACAACAACGGCTCTCGCCTGAGATTTCCTCACAAGTTAGCCAGGACCCCCGCTCCCGCCTGAGAATTCTTCGCATTTCATTGACGAATCGCGCTCTCGCTGGGGGCTTCCTTACAATTTATTCAGGAATCGCTCTCTCGGCGCTCTGGAGTCGCGCTCTCGCTGGAGACTTGCTTGCAATCTACTTAAGAATAGCGCCCTTGCGTTGGAATTCCCAGCAATTTGCTCAAGCGCCGCGCTCCCGACATTCAGGCACCCAGGAGTCACGCTCACGCTTAGGACTCCCTCGCAGATTACTTAAGAATCGGGATTGCTCTTCGTTGCCCCCTCGCTGCCCTTCGTGGCCCCCTCGCTGCCCTTCGTGGACCCGTTGCAGACCTGCGTGGCCCCCTCGCTGCCCTTCGTGGCCCCGTTGCAGCCCTTCGTGGCCCCCTCGCTGCCCTCCGTGGCTATATGTATGCCCTTCGTGCTCCCCGCTCGTTCGCGCCCGTCGTGGCCCCATGTGCATGCCCTTCGTGGCCTCGCTGTCGCCCTTCGTGGCCCCCTCGCTGCCCTTCGTGGCCCCGTTGCAGCTCCTCGCTGCCCCCTCGCTGCCCCCCGTGGCACCGTTGCAGCCCTCCGTGGCCCCCTCGCTGCCCTTCGTGGCCCCATATATGTATGCCCTTCGTGGCCCCCTCTCGTTCGCGCCCGCCGTGGCCCCATGTGCATGCCTTTCGTGGCCCCGCTGTCGCCCTTCGTGGCCCCCTCGCTGCCCTTCGTGGCCCCGTTGCTGCCCTCAGTGGCCCCGTTGCAGCCCTCCGCGGCCCAATATACGTATGCCCTTCGTGGCCCCAGCTCGTTCGCGCCCGTCGTGGCCCCATGTGCATGCCCTTCGTGGCCCCGCTGTCGCCCTTTGTGGCTCCCTCGCTGTCCCACGTGGCCCAGTTGCTACCCTCAGTGGCCCCATCGTTGCCCTCTGTGGCCCCGCATTATCTGCACTTCGTGGCCCCGGCTCGTTCGCGCTCTTCGTGGCCCCATACGCATTCCCTTCGTGTCCCCGCTGTCGCCCTTCGTGGCCTACTTCGTGCCCTTCGTGGCCCCGCTGTCGTTCTCTCTCTCGCTTTCACTTTCGCTCGTCGTCGTCGTCGCCGTCGTTGTCGTCGACGTCATCGTCGTCGTCATCGACGTGGTCGGTCCCCTGTCCGTCCCTCTTGGGGTCGGGTTGCCGCTGATCAGCGCTGCCGCTGGCCAGGCCGACGGTCCGCGGCCGCCCCGCCGCTTGCCGGGGCCCGGCCTGCAGGGAAGAAAGGTATACCCTCCAAAAGGGGTACGATCGAAGACGAAGAGTGCGGGTATCGAGGGTTTGGGAAATACGCGTTGACGGACACTCGAGCAGATAAGAGCGAACAGTTTTAACACAATTGTTGTTGTTGCTGTTGCTGTTGCTGTTGCTGTTGCTGTTGCTGTTGTTGTTGTTGTTGTTCTTATGGTTGTTGTTTTTGTTGCTGTTGTTGCTGCTGTTGCTGCTGTTGTTGTTGTTGTTGTTGTGGTAGTAGTAGTAGTAGTAGTAGTAGTAAGAATAGTGAAAATAGTAGTAGTCGTAGTCGTAGTAGTAGTAGTAGTAGTCGTCGTCGTCGTCGTCGTCGTAGTAGTAGTAGTAGTAGTTGTTGTTGTTGTTGTTGTTATTGCTGCTGCTGCTGTTGTTGTTGTTGTTGTTGTTGTGGTTGTTGTTGTTGTTGTTGTTGTTGTTGTTGTTGTTGTTGTTGTTGCTGCTGCTGCTGCTGCTGCTGCTGTTGTTGTTGTTGTTGTTGTTGTTGTTGTTGTTGAATTCTCATTTCTGAAGAATATTTATTGTTGATCCCCTCCCACGCCCCTCGACGCTCGCACCCTGTTTTTTGACATGGGAAGTCTTGATGCTCAAACTGGGCCGCTGGCCCCCGGGTTACAACAACAACGGCTCCCGCTTGAGGTTTTCTTACTATTTAGCCAGGACCCCCGCTCCCGCCCGAGACTTTCTCGCATTTTATTCAGGAATCGCGCTCTCGCTTGGGACTTCCTTACAATTTATTCAGGAATCGCTCTCCCGGCGCTCTGGAGTCGCGCTCTCGCTGGAGACTTGCTTGCAACTTACTGAAGAATCGCCTTGTGTTGGAATTTCTTGCAATTTGCCCAAGCGCCGCGCTCCCGACACCCAGGCACCCAGGAGTCGCGCCCGTTGTGGCCCCATGTGCATGCCCTTCGTGGCTCCACTGTCGCCATTTGTGTCCCCCTCATTGTCCTACGTGGCCCAGTTGCTACCCTCAGTGGCCCCATCGTTGCCCTCTGTGGCCCCGCATTATCTGCACTTCGTGGCCTTGGCTCGTTCGCGCTCTTCGTGGCCCCATGTGCGTTCCCTTCGTGACCCCGCTGTCGCCCTTCGTGGCCTACTTCGTGCCCTTCGTGGACCTGCTGTCGTTCTCTCTCGCTCTCGCTTTCGCTCGTCGTCGCCGTCGTCGTCGTCGTCGTCTTCGACGTCGTCGTCGTCGTCGTCGTCGTCGTCGTTGTGGTCGGTCCCCTGTCCGTCCCTTTTGGGGTCGGGTCGACGGTCCGCGGCCGCCCCGCCGATTAGCGCTGCCGCTGGCCAGGCCGACGGTCCGCGGCCGCCCCGCCGCTTGCCGTGGCCCGGCCTGCAGGGAAGAAAGGTATACCCCCCAAAAGGGGTTCGATCGAAGACGAAGAGGGCGGGAATCGAGGGTTTGGGAAATACGCGTTATTGGACACTCTGGCATATAAGGGCGAACAGTCTTAAACTTAACATCCGCCGCTCTGCGGTTGATCGGGAGTTTCTGTATATAGAAGAAGGGGCGCGCGCTTCTGGGCGAGAGGGAAATGATCGAGAGGAGAAAGAGCGTGAGCATCAGGAGGGCGAGGCTCGCGGGGGGGCGAACCAGCGGCGAAAAGTCTGCGGAAATCGCGCGCCCCGAGAAATCTCCTCCTCCTCCTCCTCCTCCTCCTCCTCGCCCACCTCCTCTTCCTCCTCCTCCTCCCCATCATCATCATCATCATCATCATCGTCATCATCATCATCATCATCATCATCATCATCAGCATCATCATCATCGTCCTACCGCATCCTCCTTCTTCTCCTCCTCCTCCTCCTCCTACTCCTGTTCATCCTCTTCCTCCTCATCCTACTCCTGCTCATCGTCCTCCTCCTCCCGCACCCTGGTCCTCCTCTTCCGCCTCCTCCGCCTCCTCCTCCTTTTCCTCCTCCTCCTCCTCCTCCTCCTCCTCCTCATCCTGCTCTTCCACACACCGCATCCTCAGCCCCCGCGGCCCCAGAACGTCCCGACCCCTTCCCCAGATCCGTCTTTGCTGCGCCATGATGCCAGAACGCGGCACCGAAACTCTCCCCCGGGGCCCGTTTTGTGGGGATGCCTCAAGCGAGGGCGCCGGTTTGGGATTCGTCCGCGGATCCGCCGGATCTGTCCGGAAACGGTGCCGGAGGCCGCTCTGGGCTCCTGTGGGCACCTCCCCCGGGGCCCGTTTTGTGGGGATGTCTCAAGCGAGGGCGCCGGTTTGGGATTCGTCCGCGGATCCGCCGGATCTGTCCGGAAACGGTGCCGGAGGCCGCTCTGGGCTCCTGTGGGCACCTCCCCCGGGGCCCGTTTTGTGGGGATGTCTCAAGCGAGCCGAGCGGCGCCGGGCGATGGGCACCTCGTCCGCGGATGTCTCCCGCCGGATCGTGTCCGCCGGATCTGGAAACGGTGCCGGAGGCCGCTCTGGGCTCCTGTGGGCACCTCCCCCGGGGCCCGTTTTGTGGGGATGTCTCAAGCGAGGGCGCCGGTTTGGGATTCGTCCGCGGATCCGCCGGATCTGTCCGGAAACGGTGCCGGAGGCCGCTCTGGGCTCCTGTGGGCACCTCCCCCGGGGCCCGTTTTGTGGGGATGTCTCAAGCGAGGGCGCCGGTTTGGGATTCGTCCTCCCCCGGGGCCCGTTTTGTGGGGATGTCTCAAGCGAGGGCGCCGGTTTGGGATTCGTCCGCGGATCCGCCGGATCTGTCCGGAAACGGTGCCGGAGGCCGCTCTGGGCTCCTGTGGGCACCTCCCCCGGGGCCCGTTTTGTGGGGATGTCTCAAGCGAGGGCGCCGGTTTGGGATTCGTCCGCGGATCCGCCGGATCTGTCCGGAAACGGTGCCGGAGGCCGCTCTGGGCTCCTGTGGGCACCTCCCCGGGGCCCGTTTTGTGGGGATGTCTCAAGCGAGGGCGCCGGTTTGGGATTCGTCCGCGGATCCGCCGGATCTGTCCGGAAACGGTGCCGGAGGCCGCTCTGGGCTCCTGTGGGCACCTCCCCCGGGGCCCGTTTTGTGGGGATGTCTCAAGCGAGGGCGCCGGTTTGGGATTCGGTCCGCGGATCCGCCGGATGTCCGGAAACGGTGCCGGAGGCCGCTCTGGGCTCCTGTGGGCACTTCCCCCGGGGCCCGTTTTGTGGGGATGTCTCAAGCGAGGGCGCCGGTTTGGGATTCGTCCGCGGATCCGCCGGATCTGTCCGGAAACGGTGCCGGAGGCCGCTCTGGGCTCGTGCTCTTCGCGCCGGGGGTGAGGATGACGTGAGTTCCACAGAAACTCCTTCAAATTATTATTATGGTTGTTGGTGTTGTTGTTGTTGTTGTTGTTGCTGCTGCTGTTGTCGTTGAACATTATTACTTCTAAAGAATAATTATTGTTGGGACCCCTGGTGCGCGGCCCCCTCGCCGCGCCTAGGCCGCAGCCATGTTTTCATCATTTTCGTGAGGAAGTCTCCGGCAAAACGGGTTGGTCCGGATCCGGTTGTTTTGTTACGGGCGGTTTTCCCTTGCAAAAAATAAGGCAAAGTGGACATTTCTTGTTCTAACATAACCAAACTTCAAGAATCCCTTGCAAAAAACAAGGTAAAGTGGACATTCGCGCGCGCAAGACGAAATCCTTCCAAAACCTTAGTGTTCGTAGCGATTTTAACATAAAAACATAAAAAACATGGATGTGCGATGCACGGTCTTGCTATGAGTGTTTAGTCTGTTGCACCCCTGCAGTTATCACCCGTTTCCATAACTGCCTGGGCTCAAGCTTGAAGCGGGTATGCTTGCGCATCCTCCGACCACCGCGGCAGGAGCGATAGTTGCCTTCTGGGTCGGCTTCGCGGCCCACGGCTTTCTCGGGCCTGCGGTGGTTCCTGAGCCTGACTGGCCTCGTGACGGGCCAGGACACGAGCTAGAGGACGCCTCCACCAGCTCGTCCATCACCAGCGTGACGCGGGAACCGTGCCCCGCCTTCGACCCGCAGATCCATTGCCCGGCGCCGCCGGCGCCACCAGCGCCCACCCCAGCGTCCCCGGAGGCGCTGCGCGTGGTGGGCGAGGGCGTGACCGCGACCGTCGAGGTCCCGGTGGTGCCGGCGAGCGCGATCGTCATCGTGCTGCAGGCCTTCGTCGGCTGGGGCTGCTGCCGCTGGTGCGAGGGCCGGGTTTCGGCACGGCGCGGGCTTGAGCCCGTCGGAGAGGCGCGGATCCACGTGGCGTGATGTCGCTCGTCGACGGAGCCGTGCCCGGCATGCGGGTGCTGGTGCAGTATTCGACGGATCCAGGCTGGACGCATGAGCGTGTTCTGTGCTGGCCCACGGCCGCTGACCTCTCGGAGTGGATGGTGTATACTGCTGGCAACCATCTGTACCCTGAAGGGCGGGCCGACTATACCTCAGTGGTGAAGTGGACTGGCAAGCGAGTGTACCCGCCTGGCACGACCAATGTGGTTGCCTTCAGCCGGCCCCTGACTGACGAGGAGCTCCTCAGCGTCGTCAAGCGGGGCCGCGGTGAGGCGATCGCTGACCACGGCAACGCGGCCGCCACATGGGCCGGGACAGGTGTGACCTGGACCGGTCGCCGCCTCGCAGTGCCGGACGTGATGGCGGTCGACGCGCCGAGGGTCGAGCGGCGGCTGCGCGGCAAGCAGGTCCGCCCCGCCGAGGCCGAGGCGGCTGCGCCGCTCGCCGACGCCGACGGGGCCGCTGGCGCCACCGGGCCGCGGCCGCCGCCGCCCGAGGAGCTGCCGCCCGGCACCTGGGTGCTGAGCTCGCTCGACGGCGGCGCCGACTTCGGGCTTGAGGTGAGACTGTCGCCGAACGCCGTCGTCCGGGGCAGGTATGGCGTCGACCAGGACCCGCGGGGCGAGTGGTTCCCGATCGAGTTCGTGACGGACGACGCGATGGAGCGGTGGCGCGAGGATAAGCTGGTGGCGGCCGACAAGCTCCGGCCCGCCCGCGAGGCCTTAGAGGAGAGGCTCTTCCCGGGCCGCGAGGCCGGCGCTGGCGGGACCGCCACCCCCCCGCCAGAGCCAGAGGGCGGGGGGCTTGGCCCCGAGTGCGTCGCCACTCACGAGAGGGAGGACTTGCGCACGTGCTGGATCGACACCGACGAGACCGGTGCCAGGTTCAAGGAGTGGAGGAAGGTCGTGCAGGAGAGCACACAGGAGATCTTCTCGGACTCGAGCATCCGTGGGCCTCCCGCCTGCCTCGAGATTTGTCGTAAGATGTATCGCCATGGTGGCACACCCAAGATGTGGTTTCAGGAGTGGTGCAAGGAGCAGGGCGTGACCAGGAAGGATCGCGCCTACCACGAGGTGCAGACCTTGATCGAAGTATTGTACCTGGCGGGCACCTATGACCAGCTCAACATGGACGCCCTGGCGTCGTTGGAGGTGGTCTCGCGGCGGCTGCTGCAGTATGTGGAGGCCTACGCGCACGGGGCCGAGAACGCGAACTGGGGCGCGGCGAAGCACCTGGGCGGCACGACCAACCCGCTCGACTTGGTGCCCGACGCGCTCCGGAGCTATGCCAGCCGACTGTCCAAGGAGGAGCAGGAGCTGGAGGCGCTGCGGATGCGGTCCCGTGTCCCCGGCGCTGCTCCAGCCGACGGCGCGGGCGCGGCAGCCGCGGCCGTCGCCTCTGGCGGCCTGCCCGCCGCTGGAGCTGCCGGCGGCGCCGCGGCCGGCGCTGAGGGAGGTGATGCGGCCGGCAAGGGCCGCGGTCGAGGCGGGCGGGGCCGTGGCCGCCGCCCGCCGGGCACATGACGCCCGAGGCCGAGGGAGGCGGGTGCCCGACCGTCTCCCGCAGAACCAAGGGCAGTTCGGGGCTCCGTGGGTCGGCCTGCCTGCCCATAGCCCCGTTGGCGGCGCTCCCTGACGACTGGTGCGACGGCCTGACGCCTGGTCAGCGGCGCCGCTGGCTGCGAGACGGCAACGCAGCCTGCAAGAGCTTGAATTACTTGCACGGTGGTGAGCATCGCAGTGGCACGGCGCCCGAGGGGAGCGTTAGCCAGCGTAAGATGGATCTCATCAGGGCCGATGTGCAGCAGCGCGTCTTCTCGGCGGCTCGTCGCTGGATTGACGTTGACAGCGCCATCACAGAGCAGGAGGCTTTGGCCAAGCTTCTGAAGGGCAAGGCGGGCTACGCTCCCCTTGGCTCTACCAGCATGGGCTCCTACGAGTACTCGCGGGTCAGCTTGCCGGACTGCGTCCTGGACGCCCCCAGTCTGGCCCAGATGCTACCTGCGGAGGCGAGGATTTTTCTCGAGGAGTACTCCACCAAGATGCTGCTTCCCCCTCGTGAGGCGGCACTAATACGAGAGCTTCATGGACTTCCTGGTTGTCATACTGACCCTCTGCTGCTCCAACGTCCTCGGAGCTACGCGAAGTTCGTGAGACGAGCGCTCAGGATCGGGCTCGTGACTTTGACCCGACGACCTTTGAGCGTTCTTGGACTGTTTTTTGTAAAGAAGAAGGATGGTGAGCGCCTGCGCCTCATCGTGGACTGTAGACGCAGCAATGCTCTTTTTCGTCCCCCGCCTGGTGTCGACTTGCTGTCAGGTGAAGGGCTTGGCCGCATCGAGGTGCCGGTGCTTAAGGAGGGGGACCTCGGCGAGCTGCGCGTTGTCCTGGGGGTCGGCGACGTCGCCGACTGCTTCCATCGGATGAAGCTGGACGGCGACATTCGGCGCTACTTCTGCTGGCCGCCGCTGCTAGCCTCTGCCACAGGCGAGACCCTCATCGAGGGTCAGGCGGCTGGCGACTCGGAGATGGTGTGGCCCATGAGTCAGAGCTTGCCGATGGGCTTCTCATGGTCGCTCTTCTTCGCGCAGGCGGCCAACCAGTCGCGGCTCGATCGGCAGCCGTCCTTGGCAAAGAGCTTGCGGCTCAGTGATCGAGGGCCGCCTCTTGTCCTTCGCCGCGGGCCACATAGTGAGAACCTCGGCCACTTCATGTACGTCGACAACGCCGGCGTCCTTGGCTTGTCGGACACCGCCGTCCGCTCAGCCCTTCACGAAGCCCAGACCGATTTCGATCGTGACCATCTCAAGTTTCATGAGGTTGAACTTCACGTGGGAGGTGGTCGTACACTGGGCTGCCACCTGGATGGAGCGAGGCTCTGCACGCGGCCTACGGACGAGAGGTTCGCAGCCGTGCGGAAGGGCCTGCGATGTCTCCTCAGGCAGCGCAAGGTTGCCGGGTGGCAGCTTGAGATGGTGCTGGGCCACATGACGTTCATGGCCTTGGTTCGGCGCGAGCTGCTGTCTATCTTTCACGCAGTGCACGCTTTCGTGACGAGCAGCTATCACACCTTTTCAGTCCTTTGGCCCACTGTTCGAGAGGAACTGGAGTGCTTCTTGGGATTGATGGTGATGCTCGAGGCTCGCTGGGACCGCGACTGGATGCCTTTCGTTTACTCGTCGGACGCCAGCCTTTACGGATACGGCGTCGCAGAGGCGGAGTTCGACTCTGTCCAGGTGGCTCTAGTCGGCCGCATCTCGGAGCTGAGTCGGTGGCGTTTGGGCGCTGGTCTGGCTCGTCAGCACGCCTTCGAGAGTGCCGGGTTTCTTTTGAACTCAGAGACGGGCGAGGTTGTCCGCGACGCCGAGGGGGCGCCGAGGCGGCTCGACTCCGAGCTGCTGGACATCCTCAACAGCGAGCGCTGGGAGTGCGACCCGGGGTTCCCCGAGGTCCCGCATGAGCTGCTTCACGATTCCCACTGGAAGACCGTGATGGCAGATCGCTGGGTTTTTGCTGACGATATTCTGAGGCTTGAGGCCAGAGCACTGGTGAAGGCTGCCTCTCGTGCGGCCCATTCTCAGCCAGTCAAAGACTGCCGCGTCCTCCTACTGGGGGACAATCTCTCGGTAGTGCTCTGTTTTTGTCGTTTCAGGTCCAGGGATTTTCGGCTGCTAATTCAGGTCCGACGTTTTGCTGCGCTCTGTCTGGCGAGAAACATCAGATTTGTTGTCCGATGGATACCAAGCGAGTTCAACTCTGGCGATGAAGGCAGTCGGAAGTTTGATCCAGAATATGACAGCTCCAAGACCCTCGTATCCCATTTAGGCTCAAACCAGGCCTCGGGTCCCGTGTCCTCAGGCTCCTCGCGGCAGTGCGATGGGGGGGGCCCAGCCGGCCTCGCCGGGCCGCCAGCGGACGCTGCAGCGCGAGAGCCTGCCGCCGCGGGCGCCGGCCGCGGGCTCCCTGCAGGAGCCGGCGGCGAATGCGCCTTGCAGAGTGCGCACCCTGAGCCCGGGGGCGGGCGCGAGCAGCTCTGCGGCGGCCCCGCCGGCGAGGCGAGCGCGTGTGCTGGACGCGTCCCAGGGCCTGGATGCGAGGCTCGTGGCTGCCGCCCCGCCGCACTGCCCGGCGCAGACGGACACCGTGGAGGCCTTCCTCGAGACGCCGGCGGGCAAGCTGATTCCAGCAAGCGCCGGCGTCCCCGCGGCGGCCGTGGACGCGGGCGCCTCACAGAGCTACGAGAGCAGCGACGTGGAGGAGCGGCGGGTGGTGACCGCCTCGCGCCGGAACCTCGAGCTTCGGGGCAAGGCTCGCGACCGCAGGGCCATCCAGGCCCGCGGCGGCGACGTCTGGAGGCACGGCCACAACACGGGGCTGAGCTACTTGGAGAAGCGCTCGGTGGGGGCCAGGTCGCTGGAGACCTACCGAGAGTGCGCCCTCGCGTTCTGTGCCTGGGCAGGCTTCTTGCTGACAGCCATGCCCGCGTCGGCCGTGCTGGACGTAAAGTTGGTCGAGTGCATGAACAAGCTCTTCCTCGAGGGGGTCAAGAGCTGGCGTGGAGAGAAGCTCATTGCTGCAATGATGTTCTTCCACCCGGACTATGGGAAGTCTGGTGGCCTCTACATGCCACGTGCCCTTCGTACTCTCAAAGGTTGGAAGCGGCTCAGCCCATCAAGATCGCGGAAGCCCTTGGTGTTCGCGATATGGGCGGGCATCGCGGTCGAGTTGGCCAGGCTGGGCGCTCCTCTCGCCGGGGTGATGGTGCTCATCATGGTGGAGTGCTATCTTCGACCCGGCGAGATGCTGGGGCTGACGTCGAACTCGTTCCTGCCACCTTGCAGCCACGCCGTGGACAACTGGGTGCTGCTCCTCTTCCCGGAGAGCGGCGCGGCGCGCAGCAAGACGGGGTCGTCGGACGACTCGATCCCGATCGATTCAGGAAGGATGGCCTGGATGCATCACATCTACCGGGCCCTTCGCGATCGAGGGTCGTCTCAGCCGCTGCTCGGCCTGACCTACCCGCAGTTCTTGGCGCTGTTCAGGCGGGCGGCTCACAACATCGGGGTCGACGCGGTGCCCTACCAGGGGAGACACTCCGGGGCAAGCCTGGACAGGGCCTCGAACCGCCGGACTCAAGAGGAGGTCCAGAAACGCGGGCGCTGGGCCACACTCACCTCGGTCAAGCGCTACGAGAAGGCGGGCAGGCTGAACGAGTCGTGGGAAGGCCTGTCGGAGCTCACGAAGTCGTTCTGCGTGGCTGCTCTGAGGGCGATGGAGGATGTCATCCTTCACGGCCGCCCCGCACCCGTTCCAGCATCCCAGCGCCCCACGGCCTGAGCAAGGCCGCCGCCTGCGCCGTGCTCAAGGCGCAGAAGGCTCCGTATCTCCTGGATCTCTTCGCCGGTGGTGGAGGGGTCGCCGCGTGGGCTCGCAAGCTGGGGGTACCTGCCATCAGCTTAGACCTTCGGCAGGGTGCTGATCAGGATGTGTGCAGTGCTGCCAACCTCCGCATCATCGCGGATCATTTTCGCCGTGGTCTCATTCGTGCTGTGATGATTGCGCCTCCGTGCGCGTCCTTCTCGCTGGCCCGGAACAGGTACCCCGTCAGGAGTGCCCAGTTTCCTCAGGGCCTACCACGATTGCGAGCCCATGATCGTGAAACAGTAAAGATTGGGAACTTATGTTTATCTGTCGCAGTCTACATCATTCGGTTGTGCGTTCATTTCAAGATCCCTTATGCTATGGAGAATCCAATGGGCTCGTACTTGTGGTGGCAAGATAATGTGGCCGCTCATGTTCTTCCGCACTCGTGGGCTATAGACCTGCATCGGTGCGCTTTCGGTGCTCATTGGAGGAAATCCACGCGCATTGTCATCGGCTGCCCTACCGAGTCAGGCAACCTGGCTATCATTTTCCCGGATCGCCTCAGATGCCACGGGAAGCATGGTTTCTGCTCGTTCCGTCCTGGTCATAAACATTTGATTCTGGAGGGTAAAACGATGACCTCGAGGGCCGCCCAATATCCTTATCGTCTGGCAAAGTTCCTCGCAAAGATCCTACTCGACTTGTAATATGTGCAGTGCTGCGTTCTTCGTTTCTTCGAGGCTTTCTCGCGCTACATCAGGGTTGACGCCTTCCGCACCTCCGTACGGCAATGGTCTGGGTACCGCTGCGCTGAGAACTTCGACTATGCCGAAGAGTTTGGATTTTTGTATTCTGGCTTCTGTCTTGCACGTCTGACGGCTCTCGAGAACCTTGGCGGAATCCATTCGGTATCAGATTGCACCACCGAAAAACAATCACTAGCATGGTTGTGCGATGCACGGTCTTGCTATGAGTGTTTAGTCTGTTGCACCCCTGCAGTTATCACCCGTTTCCATAACTGCCTGGGCTCAAGCTTGCCCGCCCTCGGCCACCCTGGACCTGTGTACATAGTGCACAAACCTTTCACCTCCTTCTACCCCCTAACGGGGAGCGGATTTTTGTATTCTGGCTTCTGTCTTGCACGTCTGACGGCTCTCGAGAACCTTGGCGGAATCCATTCGGTATCAGATTGCACCACCGGAAAACAATCACTAGCAATGGTTTTTCAAAAAAAAGTGTCAAAAATTCATCCCGCGCGCTCTTGCGGATTTGTAGGAAACCCAACACTTTTTAAACATTTCTGTCAAACGGGCTTTTGCGAGCAACTTTTTCACGTGCTTCGAACTTCTCCAACAACGGTTGCGCACCTGCCAGGGCCATCATCCCTGTCAAATAATACCATGCGGGACACATTCGTTTTTTCTTCGCGCGCGCACGCCGAAATCTTCAAAAACCATTGGGTTTCTTAGGAATTTTAGCACCGCGCAACATAAAATCATACGAATCGCACCGTAGGTCCTCGAAAAACATCTGTACGAATTTTCAAATTTTCTACCCGGACCTACAGACAGTACCGGCGTCGTACTGGTTTACCGTGGTTTCCTATTCTAGCGTCAGGAACACGTTACACCAAAAACCAGTACAGGTGTCCAGTGTTGGAACAGGGGGAAAAGTCGTATACTAAGCTAGCGTCCAGAAAATGTTACCACAACAAGTCACTGTACCCATGCGCCAGTGTAGTAGCCACGGTCGTCCGCAGGCCACGAAGTGAAGTGTCCGAACGTCATAGGGCGGGAAGCTGGGTGTGGGTGGTGGCGAAGAGTCGTTTGGAAATGTGGTAGAGCTTGAACCGGCCCCCCCACAAAGTGGGGGTATTGGCGGGCGTCGTATGAAAACCCTGGCACTGGTGAGAACGGAGTGTCCCCACGTGCTAGTAATTGTTGTTGTTGTTGTTGTTGTTGTTGTTGTTGTTGTTGTTGTTGTTGAATTCTCATGTCTGAACAATTGTGGTTGATCCCCCTCACCAGTGCATGCCGTTTTTTTTCAATCAAAGTGTGCCCCTCGACGCTTGCACCCTGTTTTTTCCCATGTCCTAAGATGGGGTTCTTGTTATTACTTAGACGCCTCCTACTCCTCCTCCTTCCTCTTCTCCTTCTCCTCCCTTCTCCTCTTCATACCCAGACTTACTCATACACAGACTGACTCACACTCAGACTTACTCATACCCAGATTTACTCACACACACAAAATTATTCTTGCTCAGGCCTACTCATACTCAGACCTACTCCTACTCAGATTTACTCATGCTGAGACTCACGCGCGCCCCGTTCGCGGCCGTTTTCTGGGGATGCCTCGAGCGGTTTGCCTGTTTTCTGTCCCGACATCCTTCGCTTTCATAGCAGATTTGGAGGATGTCTCGAGCGAGGCGCTCATTTTCACCCCCCATAAGGGGGGCCGCCAGGGGTGTTTTCACTGTCCCGTTCGCGGCCGTTTTGTGGGGATGTCTCGAGCGGTTTGCTTGTTTTCTTTCCCAACATCCTTCGCTTTCGGAACAGAATTGGAGGATGTCTCGAGCGAGGCGCTCGTTTTCACCTCCCAGGCGGGCCAGATTTTGAGGATGTCTCGATCGGTTTGCCTGTTTTGGTGGCTAGGCTCGTGGGCACAGATTTTTTTCAGGATGCCACAGGAGGCCCCAACAGGCTCCAGGAGGCCCCAGGAGACCACATGAGGTCCCAGGAGGCATCAGGAGGCCACAGAAAGACTCAAGAGGCCACAGGATGTCCCAAGAGGCTCCAGGAGGCCCCAGGAAGCTCCAGAAGGCTTCAGGAAGCCACAGGAGGCCCCAGGATGCCACAGGAAGCGCCAGGAGGCCTCGGAAGGCAACATGAGGCCCCGAGAGGCCCCAGGAGCAGGAGGCCTCAGAAGGCAACAGGAGTGGCTCCAATCCTATGTGTTTTACGTATGCTCCTATCGATTCGGCCTCACCTGGAGCACGATTCCTTCATGTTATACGTATGTTTCTATATAGTGTCCTTCTCCTGTGTGCACAATCCTACCTGTTTTACTTATGTTCCTATATGTTGTGCCTCTCCTCGGGCACGAGTCCTTGATGTTTTACTTGTGTTCCTTTAGACACAGATACAATATTATTTCAAAAAAGGATGCACATATGGGGAGCTCCACGCAGTGAGTCATTTATCAGGGGATGTCTTGAGGCTCGAACTTGGCCCCTGGCCCTCGGGTTACAACAACAACGGCTCCCGCCTGATACATCCTCACAATTTAGCAAGGACCCCCGCTCCCGCCCGAGACTTCATCGCATTTTGCCTAGGAGTCGCGCTCTCTCCTGGGACTTCTTCAAAATTTATTCAGGAATCGCTCTCCCGGCGCTCTCGCTGGAGAGTTGCTTACAATTTTCTGAACAATAGTGCCCTTGCGTGGGAATTTCCAGCAATTTGCTCAAGCGCCGCGCTCCCGACTTTCAGGCACCCAGGAGTCGCGCTCACGCTTAGGACTTCCTCACAGATTACTTAGGAATCGGGATCTCGCTGCCCTTCGTGGCCCCGTTGCAGCCCTTCGTGGCTCCCTCGCTTTGTTTCGTGGCCCCGTTGCAGCCCTTCGTGGCCCCCCCTCGCTGCCCTTCGTGGCCCCGTTGCAGCCCCTCGTGGCCTCCTCGCTGCCCTTCGTGGACCCGTTGCAGCCCTTCGTGGCTCCCTCGCTGCCCCTCGTGGCTCCGTTGCAGCCCCTCGTGGCCCCCTCGCTGCCCTTCGTGGCCCCGTCGCAGCCCTTCGTGGCCCCGTTGCAGCCCTTCGTGGCCCCCTCGCTGCCCTTCGTGGCCCCGTTGCATCCCTTTGTGGCCCCCTCGCTGCCTTTCGTGGCCACATATATGTATGCTCTTCGTGGCCCCCGCTCGTTCGCGCCCGTGGTGGCCTCATATGCGTGCCCTTCGTGGCCCCGCTGTTGCCCTTCGTGGCCCCCTCGCTGCCCTTCGTGGCCCCGTTGCTGCCCTCAGTGGCCCCGTCCTTGCCCTCCGCGGCCCAGTATACGTATGGTCGTGGCCCCCGCTCGTTCGCGCCCGTTGTGGCCCCATGTGAATGCCCTTCGTGGCTCCGCTGTCGCCGCTTGTGGCCCCCTCACTGTCCTTCGTGGCCCAGTTGCTACCCTCTGTGGCCCCATCGTTGCCTTTTGTGGCCCCGCATTATATGGCCTTCGTGGCCCCCGCTCGTTCGCGCTCTTCGTGGCCCCATACGCATTCCCTTCGTGTCCCCGGTGTCGCCCTTTGTGGCCTACGTCGTGCCCTTCGTGGCCCCGCTGTCGTTCTCTCTCGCTCTTGCTTTCGCTCGTCGTCGTCGTCGCCGTCGTCGTCGTCGTCGCCGTCGTCGTCGTCGACGTCGTCGTCATCGTCGTCGTCGTCGTCGTCGTCGTGGTCGGTCCCCTGTCCGTCCCTCTTGGGGTCGGGTCGACGGTCCGCGGCCGCCCCGCCGATTAGCGCTGCCGCTGGCCAGGCCGACGGTCCGCGGCCGCCCCGCCGCTTGCCGTGGCCCGGCCTGCAGGGAAGAAAGGTGTACCCCCCAAAAGGGGTACGATCGAAGACGAAGAGGGCGGGTATCGAGGGTTTGGGAAATACGCGGTATTCGACTCTCGAGCAAGTAAGAGCGAACAGTCTTAACATACTTGTTGTTGTTGTGGTTGTTGAATTCTCCTTTATGAGGAATATGTATTATCTTGCACTGGGTGTCTAGAGCTCCGACCACTTTATTTCTGCACGGCACCCCTCCACCACCCACACATTCCACCATCCAGCGCGCCCCTCCGCCCCGACCCTTTTCATTCCGGCGCGGCACACCTCTCTGCCCCGACCCCTTGATTTCGGCACGGCACACCCCCTCCGCATCCCCCCCACCCACCAGCCAGCGCGCCCCTCCGCCCCGATCCTCTTCGGCGCAGTACACCCCTCCCCCCCGACCCCTGTATTTCGGCACGGCGCACCCCCTCCGCATCCCCCCACCCACCAGCCAGCGCGCCCTGCCGCCCCGACCCCTGTATTTCGGCACGGCACACCCTTCCGCCCCGACCATTGTATTCTGGCACGGCACACTCCCTCCACATCCCCCCCACCCACCAGCCAGCGCGCCCTTCCGCCTCGATCCTTTCATGTCGGCACGGCACACCTCTCTGCCCCGACTTCCTTATTTCGGCACGGCACACCCCCTCCGCATCCCCCCCGCCCGCCAGCCAGCGCGCCCTTCCGCCCCGACCCCTTTATTTCGGCACGGCACACCCCTCCGCCCCGACGGCGCACA